TAAGACTAATCATCAAACTTCAATGCCTTGAAATCTGTTATTGAATAAACAACAGACAAAGAGTCTATTTTTTAAACCGGTACTACTCCTAGCTGGTAGTTTCCATTGCTGAAATACCTACACTAAATATATCGTCATCCCTTTCATTCTTTTAAAATAAAACAGAGATAACAATGTTTTTATAAAAACATGCGAATCAAGTCTTTGTGATGTTGCCAAAGAAAACAATTTCATTCAGAAATATTCCATTCCAATTTACTGCATACATTTGAAACAAAGTCGTTACTTTAACAGTGACATTGAAGTTCAAAGTGGGATAAACAGTGGCAAGGCTGGTCATCATTCATATCAGACACCTTTTCATATCAGGTTAACCAGAGTCAGTATGTGCAAAACTGCCAAACTAACCGCGGTTCGACATTAGTGCCGCGAAGCGCCACGAACAGACGCGAATGTGGATGGTATTCGCGGGGTTTTCGGACGTTCACGCTCGTTCGCGTCGTGTTCTCCGATCAAAGTCGGTATTTTATCCCGCGATTAAGGGTTCGCGCCCCGTTCGCACGGCCTCGTGCTCGTGCTAATCTATTTTTAAAAAAAATATTGTCAAGTTATTACAGCAGCAGCTTCCACGTCTAGTTTGCGATTGATTCACGAACGAATATGAACATCCCGCGAATGTGGAGGCTAACTTGCTAATGTAGAGCAACCATTGCTGTCCATAGTAGTTGATAAAGGCAGTGATGAAGTGTATTTGAATATCTATTATGGCTTACAAGATATAAAATTTTAATATAATTTTGTGGTATAAAGCAATTTTTGAAAGTATAGTACCGCGAACGAGGGTGACTGTACCTTTTTCAAAATCATCACGTAATGTTTACCAAAGAAGATTTTACTCTGCTCTTGTATTTAGATTCAAAGTTGTTGTACTGCTAATTTTGCGCACACATTGTATACTTCTAATCTGTTCCCCTAAAGGATTCTAACATTCGATTAGTACTGTGAACGATAAAGGCGTGTCGTACAGGAAAATGCCAGCGTCCTTGACTCGCTGATAATGAACAATAACGGCTCAGATTAATAGCCATTCTTTTATTGTAATTACAATAAGTAACACAATAAGCTCTCAATTATATTCAAACATGACTAAATATAATACTGCACTACAATAGTATCTATAAGTTATCGATTTTTCAATTGAGTAATATGTCGTAAATCTAAAACGTAGTCTTCCGTAATAAATAAGGGGCCAGTAAACCTTAAAATGTTAGGAAAAAGTCGCTTATTTTCAGTCCGCTTAAGTGGAACTCACCTTTACTTCTAAACAATTATTATTTAACGCCCATAAACATAATCTCGAAGCGTAAGCAATGCTTTGTTGTACAGCGCAAAAATAGGTACGACGCAACGAACAAGGTAACTGGGTTATCCAAAATAAGAAAGAATAACCCTCTGACATTCAGTACTAAAAATATGACTAGATATGTTCCGTTAGTAAAATATTTAGTTTGTTCTTCAAAGTAAATTCTCTGATATATTTGTATAAATTATTAGTAACTGAAAATATTTTATGCAGGTGTTTGTCATCACAGTTTTGGATTTAGATGAATATTGGATTTAATAATAATCCACAAAATCTATCCTCTTCCTTTTTCGGACATAGAGCCTCTTTGCTGCGGCAATCGATTGCACGTTAGGTTCATTTTTAAAGGCAGAAAACTTCAGATCATGTTTGGCAAACATCACTGCTGCCAATATCGAAAGAGTAAGTCATCTTAGTTCTGTAGGGGATAAAATATTACAATATTTATCGACAATATATTAATGTTCTACATCCCTTAAGTATTTAAATATAATGTACTCAATTCTTTATCGATGATGCTCATCTCTCCGGTTCCACACGGGTCAGTAGCTGTCCCACCCGACTATGTTTAGCCTGAGGTCGTATGCTCGGTCGAGCATACGCACCCTGTATCGATTGCCCTCCATCCAAGCTCACAAGTATCTAGTGGCTTATAATGTTCCTCACCAAATAGCCGCCAGTGTGGCCGCGCAAGAATTTGTGGTTCGTTATAATTCAAGCTATACCGCATACACGTTAAGGGTACTCTGGGAGTAAGATGCATGTTGTCTGTCTTGATTTATCTAGATTCCTAAGATACATATTTAAAAAGCCGTTAAATTAACTTTAAAATTTTAGTAATTGTGTTTTCTTTCATAACTATCAACCCGGCCTCTTTAGATCGGGAAGAACTTATGACTACTTTTTCTATATTATAAGTATCTAGTCTATTTAATATCTTTTTTGCATCAATGAAATCTAAAAAGGTCGATCTACATGGGCCTCGAAGAGAGATTAATTTTAAATGATTCAAGATTTTAATTGAATTATTTTCGATTGGCATTAATAATTTAATATTGCTACAAATTCTTCAAATACTTAATTTCCTGTTATAAAATTAATTAAATAATTCCTGATCCTATCAACTCCGACCCTTCCTCTCGAGCGAAAGGAAATCTGGGGCGCTTCTGTCAGTTTTATGGACCTTAATTTCCTGAATATTAAATCCCATTCTTCTTATTCGTCGGTGTTGTTATATCGGCAGTTAATTTTATCGCCCTAAATATAAAAATTAATTAGGTAAATCCTGCTTCTTCCTCTTGGTATACAGGCGTTAATTTTATGTAATTACCTTTAAGGGAAAGATTCCTTGTGGTTAAGATATCGTTCTCTAAACGTTATTAACTTTTTTAGACGCATTTTGACTTATATACCAACATAATCACCAAAAACATTCACCTTCGAAGCTATATTCATACCTTTTCTCATTTTTATAAGTTTTCTTCATCTTAATATTCAGTTTGCATTTAAAATCTTGAAATTCAGAACAAAACATCCATTGTCTTGTCAAGTTTAGATACAACCTGATTTATCACAGCAACAAAAGCTTCACTCCAGACGAAATCTCGGTAACGTGTATGCGGTGACTGAAAAACAATAAAGAATATACAATTTTAAACCTAAATTCAATGATGATAAGGTTTAATTTTAAAGAATTTAGTATGTAATACTTTCAGATGGTTATAAGTGAATATCGAAAATGTTTCTGTATCTTAGGTGTGATGTTATTGTTGTTGAGTTACAATTTCATAGACTTTAGGCGTGTGTGGTACAAAGTATTATTGCATACATTCTATATTGTCTGCGATTTATTGAAGTTACTAATGAAACTGGTAGAATTGTACTGAAGATGATCTGGTGAATAATCGGTAAGTTGGTGTAGCGTTTTGTTCACCGGTTTGTATTGAAGTATTGTAACCTTTCATATCTTTCATCTACTGTAGTTGCCCATCATTGTTGTTTATAAAAAGTCTTCCAACTTTTCATTGTTTTTTAACCTTTTCTTCCTGTTCCTTTGCTTTCTTTTTCTACTTCTCCCCAGTACCTAAAGATACGGCAAAATAGCTTTTAACCTCTCAACGATATTAAATTTTCCCCTTGTGTTAAAAATAAACAACTAGGTTATTAATGTTTATTAAAATACCAAAACAACTGTTATTGGTTACCTTCACTGTACCTCCGACGATGTATAGTATGGAATACAACTCAACGTATATCGTATCAAAGAGTACATGTATGAGACGCTCGAAGTTGGAACACTGCGAACGTAGGTGACTGTACTTTAATTAAAAATAATACCAGTATTAATGGATATGTTATTATTCTGTGTGTAGCAGTTTTAATAATCCAGAGTAACTAAAAATAGCACAACATACAATAGATGAACAATTTCCAGCAGTCTGGTTATGATATGTTTGGCGCCGGCTTCCGGGAAGGTGTTGCTCGGACAGTTTGTTTGTTTTGCATTACGCCAACGATACCCTTGTTGAACATCTATTGAGATTGTTTGAAAGGTATAAGGGTGCGTCTACACTGGAGTTATTGCAAACATATAAAATATTACATTCACGAATTTAAAATATAAACATAGATTTATAGTTGTACTCAGACACGTTCTTTGAGCTTAATGAAGATTAAATCAACACTAAGGGGAACTGCCTAACCGATTCTGAGTATGGTATTCTTTGTGCAAAAATAAGAAATTATCGAAACTGTAAGAGACATCTTAATGAACATCTTTTTTTATTTGCTTACCACTCCGTTATCCTTTTTGTTTTTTGGTGAAAATCCACCTTAAAATTGTGATAATTGTTTTTAACCGTGGGTTTATATTCTCGAAACATTTACACAAAAAACATATTGTTTTTCATGATATTTTCCCTGAAAACAAAAACAAATGGAAGAATTGAGAACCTCCTCCCTTTTGAAGTCGGTTAAAAAAGTAAGATATATCTTTGAAGAGATGTAGAACTTTTGTTTTTGCACATACAAAGAATATAATTTACATAAAATAAAATATTAAAAAACGAATAATTTACTAAAAATATATTATTAAAATCCCTTTAGGCAAGGTCCCAAAGATACTTGCAGCGTACCCCCTTTGGACAGCTAAACTAATTCTATGTCCGAGGTAGCACATGTCATTGGATGGGTCGATATGTTTCATGTTGAATGTTTCGACAGTGGGCATCCAAGGTAACGAAGTCGTTGTTACGCTTTGTTTAGCACTGTCTTTCAGTAAGGCATTCGAAGGTGATTATATAAATAAACATTAATATCGTTTGTGTTTAAATGTATATTGGTTATGCAGTCTACACCTGTTCACCTAAATCGTAGACTTCAAATAATATTAGAAGTTATTCTTATTCAGGATTCAAGGAATTTTAGTGAAGTCCATATTTTTCTTTTTCTATTTATTTTATACATTGCCAACTTTATCTGTAACCAGTAAAGACGAATATGAGTAGACCATTTAAACCTACTTGGTTATATCTTGAAGGGTATGCATTGTTTTTGTAACGTTTAACATTTTTGAAAGCTAGTTTTTGTTCCCTTAGCACATCTGGTTGTGATATGACAATTTTTATTTTATCACCAGGTATCATTGCATGGTGGGTGTAAGACGGCAGAATGGGGGACAGCTTCCTGCACCTGGGGGACATCGTGTCCCTCTTCGCGGAGGGCTCTGTCTCAGGCTTTCTCAGTACTTTGGGGTGAGTACGCATTTTTATTTCAAATAAAAACTATCACAAAAGTCAGAAAGAATCAAACCAAAGTGAGCATTTGGCATTCAACAAGAGTCTTCACATTTTGTAGTCCCGCTACTTCTTTTGCGGTCTTGATCTACCTTTCGCGGTCCCATGCTATCTCGGCCCAGTTCAAGGCTTGGAGCTCCTGCAGATCGTTATCCACAACAATCACTGCCTTCACACATATAAACTGAAATTGGAACTTAGATTTCAGATAAATTTCCCAAAAATGAATAATATCATTAATTTTGATGTTCTTTTCTATAGGTTGGTAGATGACAGATGCGTCGTGTGCCCCGAGGCCGGCGATCTGACTGATCCGCCCAAAAAGTTCCGGGGTAAGTTAAAGTCATTACCACGTAAAATATTACAGTGCAATTAGTCCAAACTTTAATCTCAAGGGGATGGACGATAATTTAGTCGAGACATGAGTGATAAAGTTTTAAATATGTAAATTGTAAAACATTTTTAATTATTTATCTTTTTTTTTGTATTATCCAGATTGCCTGTTCAAGATATGCCCCATGAACCGATACTCCGCGCAAAAGCAGTTCTGGAACACCGCCAAACAGTCGGCGAACGCCAACGCCGACACCGACACGGGACTGCTCAAGAGGTTACATGTGAGTACAAAATACAGGGACAATAAAATTCAAAGATGGAAAGACAAGGAGGATAAAATTACGACCAATTTACTAACATATACAAATAGTCACCGAACCAGACTTAAGCATTCGGTTATTCGGTGGCACTTACCGTAGATTTCTGAGATCAAAAACTCTGTAAAAAACACATCGTCATCCCTATTGATCTTTGATCCCTATTGATCTTGACAAAATAATATGTTTTAAACGAAGATTTTGGTCTCAGAAACCCAGTTAGTTAGTTCGTTTTAAAACGGAGTTGCTGTAATCGTATGGGACGTACCTTATTCTTGTATCCTATTCACCCTGGTCAGTGAACACCTTGTTTTTTTTATATCATAAGGCGGCAAATGAGCTAGCGGCCACCTGAAATCGCTGAAATAGCGAAGTGACTGTTGCCCATAGACACGCAATTGGATATGCGTTGCCTACATTTAACCGACGGAGTAGAGGAAGCACAGAAAGAAAATATTTTCCATTCCCATGCATCCTCTTATTCGGAAAGTCCACTTCCACTTCCCATTCTTTCCTTATAAGAAAAAGGGTAAGAAGTGAAAGAGGACTAAAATTAGGCCTCCTGGTCGCAGACACATCAGATGAAGGGCAGAATTCCTTCCACTACACGCCTGTGTTTTGTATGGTCGTGGCACCGGGTGAACCGGCCAATTTTTGCGAAGATGTTAAAGCGGGCTCTACCACTGTTAAGGACTGTTGTTTTATTAAGGACTAGCTGTCGCCCGCGACTCCGTCCGCGTGAATATATAAAAAACCTAATTAGTGTAGCCTATGTGTTCTTTCAGACTATGTTCGGTATTGAAATTATCGGCCATGTTTGAATATACGGGAATTATTAGCTCAATAATAAGATTTAATGTTTATTAATCTTTTCATGTTTATACGAATCTCAGTAGACAGTTATAAATCATTTTAATGTCAAAACAATGTTGATTAAAAAGGTCAGTGACTTCATTTTGCTATTAATTCATTATAAATAGTTTATGTTGCCCCACTTTGAAGACTATCAATATTTTTCTATTCTTTGATTTATGACTCAGTTTATTATTATTATTAAATGAGTTATTGCGTTTACTTTTTTTATAATATGACAGATCTCTGATTCAAGAGTTAAAAATAACAACAGACAGTTATAGATTGTTCGCATTTGTTCCAATAAAATATGTAGTTGGAACGTCAATTTATATGTTTTTATCTTACTGTATTACCGTGGGTTTCTGAGACTGAAATCTCCGTTTAAAATATTTTGTTATCTCTGTTTTGTCAAAGATAATGACAGGGATGACGATATGTTTTATACAGATATTTTGATCTCAGTAACCAACCGTTAATTATTGTTTATTTAACAATGTATTTTAACCAATATTAGCTTAATAAATTATGGTGCAGATAAATCTTGTTAGTTATTTGAAACTTTTATCACTTAACACGTTAGCTGCCGTGTCGGACTATGTGTCCGACAAACCCTACTTCCATTCAACAACTCGCTGTGGCTTGTAGGACGCTTTTTAATCGAAGTGTTGTATACAGCGTGACCTGCAAGGGCAACTATAAAGCTTGTAAACAGCGGGTCAATATTTTTCGTTTTTCGAAAAATCATTCTGGCAGCGAACGTGTTAAGGATATTGTTAGAGCATATTTCATTGGATTACATTGTATTTCGGTTGTATTCTTGCTAAATGGCGGATGTTAACGAGCAGTTTTATTGTACTGCAATTCCACTGTACTATATCGCAATTGATTCATAACCCACTTAGTAAGTCATTCTAGAAGTTTCCTAACCTTTCCATATATTCTTAACTAGATTTAGATGTTTTTATCAAATCTATACTAATATTATAAAGAGGAAGAGTTTGTTTAAATCCGCTAATCTCAGGAACTACTGGTAATATTTTGAAAAATTATTTTTTACTGGTTCGTCCATTTATAGAGGAAGGCTTTAGGCTATATAACATTACGCTGCGACCAATAGTTTTTTATTAATTCCGCGCGGATGGAGTCGCGGGCGACAGCTAGTACAGAATAAAACACTAACTATGTTATTCCAAAAAATAGCCAGACACTGTTTGTTTAAACATAGGTTTTAACCCTTTGAACGCCGGTGTATTGAATATTATAGACATTTTGATGTTAGGATGTTAGGTTTTTTTTTATATCATAAGGTGGCAAACGAGCGAGCGGCCACCTGAAATCGCTGAAATAGCGAAGTGACCGTTGCCCATAGACATACGTAATATATGCGTTGCCTACGTTTAATCGACGGAGGAGAGGATGCACAGAAAGAAAACATCTTCCCTTTCCATGCATCCTCTCATCCGGAAAGTCCACTTCCACTTCCTATCCCTTCCTTATAATAAAAAGGGTGGGAAAGGAAAGAGGACTAAATTAGGCCTCCGGGACGCAACGCCTCCTAGGTTAGGTATATGTTTCACTATAAAACAATAAAGTCTTATTGCCGGACTCAGAGACGTTCGTCTATTTTAGTGTAATTATAGTATTAAAAATCAACATTAAGTGTCTCACATAATAATGAGACACAGAAAATTATTTAGTTCATCTATATTTCATCATCATCATCAGCTCACTATTCGTCCCCACCGAGGGGCTCGGAGCCTACCTTAAGTTAAGGGTGATTAGGCCATAGTCAACCACGCTGGCCAAGTGCGGGTTGGTTGACTTCACACATATCTTTGAATTTCTTCTCAGATATGTGCAGGTTGCATCACGATGTTTTCCTTCACCGTAAGAACGTCGGTCGAACTTCACGTTGCATAATCTTGTTCAACTCACCTGTATTATAAATATAGAGAAAAGAATGTTCTGTCGAGATGTAACGGTTCATCTTAGTAACTAATGGCGTCATTATAAAGAAAATGTTCTATTTCTGTTGTTCAGTGTGATGCATTACGGCTGTTATAATTATTTCTTCAAGATAGTAAATATGTATATTATATAGTAAAAAATAGGTATTTACTAAGAATAAATCAGATCGCACAGAATTTCGTTACTAAACAGAAGATCTCTGGTCCCATTAAGTTGGTCATCCTTGCTATATTTTCATGCACTTATACTGTGATGGTTGTCGCGCGATACGTCCGCGCGGAATTAAAAAAAGAAATAGTGGGCTATGTGTTCTTTCAGACTACGTTCTACATCTATGTCCCATGTTAGCCGGATCCGTTCAGCGGTTTTGGAGATACCTTCAAACAAACATCCATCCATCCAAAAAATCTCATGTATTAGTAAGATTTAAGTCATTATATACCAAGGATTCTCATGCACTTTGCAATAATTGTGACATGTTTCCAGCATGCCGCTGAAATAGAGAAGAAACAGAATGAACTAGAGAACAAGAAGTTATTGGGTACGGTCGTGCAGTACGGCAGCGTCATACAGCTACTGCACGTCAAGTCCAACAAATACCTAACTGTATGTATTATCATCAGCTCACTATACGTCTCCAATGAGGGGCTCGAAGCCTACGCTAAGTCTGAGTAGACTAGGCTATCGTCAACCACACTGATCCAGTGGGGGTTCACACATATCTTTGAATTTCTTCTCAGATTTGTGCAGCATCACGATGTTTTCCTTTACCGTAAGAACCTCGGATATATCTACATGTGTCAATCGAAAAACACATTGGTATATGGCGAGATTAGAACCTAAGATCTGCAGATTACAAGTCAAGTGCATAAACCCTGAGGCACCGACGTCTTATTTCTTGCAACACTTGATAATGTTAATTTACGCAATTTATTAAATTTATTACGTGAAGCAATCTGCATAATTCATCTGACTTTAAGTCGACAGAAGTTTAATACAAGTCAATAGAGATAGAGAGATAGACAGAGTGAGAGAGAAGTCATTAACTATGTGTTGTAGGTAAACAAGAGACTGCCCGCGTTGCTGGAGAAGAACGCAATGCGGGTACATCTAGACGCAAATGGAAATGAGGGCTCGTGGTTTTATGTAATGCCTTTTTATAAACTGCGCTCGACTGGTGAGTACTGCCATATGAAATACAAGCTGTCGCCTGCGACTCCGCATGCGCGGAATTAATCAATATCCTTATTAGTAGCCTATGTGGTCTTCCAGACTATGTTCTACATCTGTGTCAAACTTCATCAAGATCTGTTAAGCCGTTCCGGAGATACCTTCTAACAAACATCCATCCATCTAAACATTCGCATTTATAATATTAGTAAGATAGAAAGATAGTGTTCGAACATATGTTTGTTAATAATTAAGAAATGTATATATGACAGCAACAGATATATCCTTGTTTCCAATTGTACAGGGGACAATGTGGTGGTAGGCGATAAAGTGATAATGAACCCGGTAAATGCGGGCCAACAAGTCCTACACGTGTCGTCCAGCCACGAGCTACCGGACAACGTGGGCTGCATGGAGGTGAACATTTAACCCTCAATTCCACAAAGCAACTAGTTGCGCGACTAACTGAACGCGACTACTAGCTACATCAAACATGTCCCGGTTTATTCCTTTGCAGATCCCAGGATGCTTACCATTTTGAACTTACCGTAGATTTCTGAGACCAAACCGTTTAAAACATATCGTCATCAGTGTCATTATGTTTGACAGAACAGAGATGACAGTATGTTATAAACGAGAATTTAGACCTCAGTAACCCATAGTGAGTCAAGTCTTACATAACCCTGTCTTTCCCTTAGAAATCAGGTTATAAGATTTTGTCTTTATAAAAAGGCAACATGAGCGCGCCAGTGGAAGTACGCATTGTTATTGGAAATAATAGTCGCGCGTATAGTTGCTTAGTGGAAATTGTATTTAAACTCTTATACTATATTTAGTTTAATATTCTCTATTAGTTTCAATTCAAATTTAAATAGGTTGTGGGCTGGGGACATAGATTCTGTTCTATAAATTTCAAGACTATGAAGATCTAATTTTAATCGATGTTAAATTCTAAATAAAATTGTTAAGTTGTTTTTTTTTAAATACTATATGCCATATAGTCTTGTCGTTGATTTGTCTTTACGAGTTTAACCTAATTATTTTTTCCTTTTTAATTAATGTTTTAATAGTTATATTTAGTTATTTTATTTTGTTATTGTGTCTCTATGTCAGCATGACGTACTACTAAAGACAACGTCTCGAACTTGTTGGGAAGTGGAAGTTAAGCAGGTACGATGTACTGTGGGTTTCCACTGCCGAAACATTCGTACAAAAATATATTGTTATTCTTTTCCTTTTGAAAGGAATTGAGGTAACAATAGGCAGTGGAAACTGTTCGAAGCTAGATGCAGCCAATATTTACTTATTGCTAGAACATTCTAAAAGGTTTTTGCTACTTCCATTTGAGCTATAAACGATTTACATGTTCAAAGGGCTGTAGTTCATTATTAAGCGTTTGTCTAACCTGATTGATAGTTGGTTTCTAAGACCAAAATCTCTATGTAAAACATATCATCATCCTTTTTATTATTTTTTGACACAACAGATATAACAATATGTTTTAAACAGGGTTTTTGGTTTTAGACACCCACTGTTAGGTTAAGTTACACTGACTTAAAGATTAGAAATATGTTAAACAAGGCTAGAATTGATTACATACTTCAATAAATGCATAAAACACTCATTTAAGTTAAGAATTCAGGAATCAGGAAGTCAGGAATATTCCTGAATATTTATAGGTAAACGTCGTGAACTCCTCAACGTCATGGAAGGTGACTCTTTTCCTGGAGCACAAAGAGAACCAGGAGGAAATCCTCAAAGGTGGGGATGTGGTGCGGCTGTTCCATGCGGAGCAGGAGAAATTCCTGACGATGGACGAGCACCAGAAGCGGCAGCACGTCTTCTTACGTACAACTGGCAGGTCGAGTGCCACCGCTGCTACCAGTAGCAAAGCACTCTGGGAGATAGAGGTAGGGCCAATTATCTGTGCATCGAAATTAGACGTACCTTTAAACCCCTTTCCACAAGGTGAAAAGGCTCACCAGTGGAAAAGGGGTTTGTTTTATGAGTATATAAATCTGTGTTGATTGTCAGGTGGTGCAACATGACCCGTGTCGCGGTGGCGCGGGTCACTGGAACTCCATCTTCCGCTTCAAGCACCTCGCCACAGGACACTATCTCGCTGCCGAAGCCTGTCTTAAAGCGCCGTCAGTATTCACTCACCTTTAAATTACACTTGGTGTTGCCCGCGGCTTCGGTCGAGCGGAATTTAATTTTTAAGACTATGATCTACGGAAAATTAATCCATCCATATAAATATTCGCATTTATAATGTGTTAGTAATATTAAATCCTGTTTTTCTCTTTACTTAATTTATCGGCCAAAATCAATATAGGTTCTCGAACCATATTCGCTTATTCCCAGTATTTTTAATTAACATTTTTAATCTAAAACGTGTTCAAAACTTTCCCTCTGATAGACTAATTTATGTTTGTGTGGTAGTGACGCGCCGCTGGAGAGCGGAGAGCCGGCGTACCAGCTGGTGTCAGTGCCGCACTCCTCAGAGATCGCCACACTGTTCGAGCTCGATCCCACCACCATGACTCACTCCGACGCCGCCGTGCCGCAGAGCAGCTACGTCAGGTAACCGTTCACTCACTTCGCTTACTCATTCCACTCACTCACTCCGCTAACTCATTCCGCCCACTCACTCCGCACACTTCGCTCACTTACTCACTCCGCTCACTCACTCCGTCCACTCACTCCGCTCACTCACACCATTCACTCACACCACTCACTCCCCAATATTCATTCAGACATTCATTCACCTGTGAGTCCGTTAACCCATCCGTCTACTCGAAATTAAAAAAATAATTAGTAGTCTATGCGTTCTTCCAGACTATGTTCTATATCTATGTCAAATTGAAGTGAGATCTAACAAACATCCATCCATCCATCTATACATTCGCATTTATAATATTAGTAAGATATTTTAAAATAAATGTTTATACAAAGAAATAATCTTTTCAGATTACAGCACTTATGCACGCACACATGGGTACACTCTACATCTATACCGATCGACAAAGAAGAAGAGAAACCTGTTATGTCCAAGGTAACATAGAAAAACACTGCAATAAGCACATTACTATGCGCCAGATAGCAAAAAAATAAATAAAAAGCATAATAAAAAAGATTTATGTCAAATATGTAAGCTCCGCCCACTTACAACATTTTTCCGCCCATTCGCTGTAACTTACAGCTGGCGTCTAAAGTATATTTATTGGCCTAATTTGATTAATTTACGATGTAAATTATTTTGTATCTGTAAATTATGACGTCATTAATTACCAATATATTTTCCAGGTGGGATGTTCAATAGTAAAGGAGGACAAAGAAGCATTCGCCTTGATATCGGTGTCTCCCAGCGAAGTGAGAGATCTGGACTTCGCCAACGACGCGTGCAAAGTGCTGTCGGCCTTGTCGACCAAACTTCACCACGGCAATATAGAGCATAATGAGATGAAGTAACGATTATATTCATTCGTACCTTCCCTCCGTTTGTAGCCTACAGTAAAATATTAAACAAAATTCCACTGAACTGAACTACTGTAAATATCTATCTATCTCTCTCTACGATTTAATCAGTCCATTAAATTCCTATCTCACTTCGTTAATCGTAATAATTTCACCAGAACACAAACAAAAATCTGCCTCGAAGGACCAAAAATTATCTATATTAGTAAATATGAAATTTTCTTTCTCAGAGCCCTAACCTGCCTGTTACAAGACATCGTATACTTCATAGCGGGCTTCGAGAACGAGCCCAACAAGTCCAAAGCGCTGGACCTGGTGGTGGAGAACCCCAACAGGGACAGGCAGAAGCTGCTGCGCGAACAGTACATACTACGCCAGCTGTTCAAGATATTACAAGTATGAGAAAATGCAATATACTGTAATATACTTTATGAATGCAATGCCTGTACCCGTGCGGATTTATTTTATTCTTAACCTTTTTTTTACATTGGCTGAGTATGATCGTTACCATGGCATCCATCCATCTTTGTTACTATTGGTTTGCAGTGTTTCTCTTTCTCACATATTTTTTAAAATTTTACTCTCCTAAGTTTAAAATAGCATGAAAAGATTTAGTCTAAAGCACGTGTTAAGTATAGGTCGTCTAAGTATAAAAAGAAGTTTATGTAACCGTAGTATATTTAAGAACATAAATAAAATTTTCGTGTTAGTTACCATATTCGGCTTGACCGATTTTTATTACATTTTGTATGCATATTCAGTAGGTCTGAAAATCGGCTTCTGGCGACAGCTGGTATAGATTTATAATTGTAATGTTATCAGGGTCCATTCCAAGAGACGAGCGAGGGCGGAGGCGAGCCGTTCCTGAAGATCGAGGAGTTGTATGACCCTCGCTACGCCCCCTACAAGTGCATCTTCCGCCTCTGTTACCGCATCCTGCGCCTCAGCCAGCAGGACTACAGGAAGAACCAGGCGAGTTGACAGCACCTGGTCTTCTGATCTGTACCAATATGACACTCTGGGGAATAATACGAATACAATGACACTCTCTCTCGTCTAACAACAGTATACTCCGAGAGACAACTCAATAGATAAAGAAAATTCAATAACTTGTTATTAACAGTTTAGTTTTTCTTGGTAAAGAAACATGTTTTTCTGAAATTTTTAAAGCGACATTCAATATTGATTCATTGTTTAGTTCAATAGTTTACACTTTTAACTGAAAATCGTGTTAATTCTACTGTTTTTAGCTCAAAAACGGCTTATCCAATTTGGTTGAAAACTGTTGGGGTAGGATAGAACCAAGAGACGGACATAGGATACTTTTTATCCCGTTTTCAGACTTAAAACAGTTTTTTTTATTCCAAGCGGACAGAGTCACGGGCAAAAGTTATAGTGTGCTAATATAATGTATGTTTGTAGGAATACATAGCGAAGCACTTCGGCTTCATGCAGAAGCAGATAGGCTATGACATCCTGGCGGAGGACACCATCACCGCGTTGCTGCACAACAACCGCAAGCTGCTCGAGAAGCACATCACCGCTTCCGAGATTGAGACATTCGTTGGTATGTGCTAATGTACACTTAACGGCACAACGGTCTGTACGCGGTTAAAACGCGCTTCCTACGCGTTGTTAACGGATTAATACTGTCAGTCGAGAAATGAGCCAGCAAGAGAGATTTTATTTCTTATTAATACGGTAAATGCGAATGTTTGGATGGATGATTGTTGTTTGGTACCTCTAGAACGGCTGCACGAATCTAGTTGAAATTTGGCATAGATATAGAACATAGTATAGAAGAACACATAGGCTACTAAGTTTTTTTTAATTCCTCACAGACGGAGTCGTGGACGACAGCTAGTTTATTTATTCTATGTTACAGGTCTCGTACGTAAGAATATGAAGACATGGCAATCACGATTTCTGGATTATCTGAGTGATTTGTGCATATCCAACAAGAAGGCAATCGCGGTGACGCAGGAGTTGATATGCAAGAGTGTTCTCTGCGCTAATAATGCTGATATACTTATTGAGACCAGGCGAGTACAAGTGCAAAGAGTTAAGAATAGATGGCGCTGTTCTTAATTTAAAAAACTAAGATAAATTAACATTAAACTAGATGGCGCTGTTCTTAATTTTGAAAAGAAAGTAAACTAATTTTTAGGTTTTTTTCAGTAATGTTATAATTTTTTTAATAGATTGGTTTCAACAAAATACGAACGTTCATCGGAAGCTGAGGAGACGGGAGACAAATACACAGTGGAAGACGAAGTCATGTTGTTATGGAACAATAAGAAAGTTTGTATATTTATCTGTATTTACTAACCAAAATTAAAAAAAATATCAGCAGTCAAAGCAAAGAGCATATATTTCTTGGTAACTATTTAATTTTCCATATAAAAATGTATTTATTGTCGTTTCCAGTGTTCCCGCTTGCTGTCCGAGCTGGCGACGGAGGCTCGCCTGGAGCCGCGCAGTGAGGCAGCTGCCATACTCGACTACTACCGTCATCAGCTCGACCTGTTCTCTAACATGTGCCTCAACAGACAGTACCTGGCCCTCAACAGTCTCTCCGCGCAGCTGCATATTGATCTCATACTCAAGTACGTGTAACATTGCTCCGAGATATTGTCCGTGCGAGTTTAAGGAACCTAATTAGTAGCCTATAAGTTTTTCCCTACTATGTTCTACATCTACGCCTAATTTCATCAGAATCGATTAATAATGATGATGATATATATCCATCCATCCATTCATTCATCCAAACATTCACATTTGCAGTAATTGTAAGAAAGCCTGTCCATGTGTTAACTACGGCTTTGACGACTTTAGGTATTCGTGTTTTATACAAGTAAGGAGGGTAAAATTTAATAAATTAGTTTTTAATTGTTCTTTTTCTGTTCCAGATGCATGTCGAACGCGTCCCTGTCCCAGGAGTTGCGCGCGTCGTTCTGTCGTCTGATGCTGCACCTGCACGTGGACCGCGACCCGCAGGAACCTGTCACTCCTGTCAAGTACGCAAGACTCTGGAGCGACGTCAGCGACACCATACATGTGCACGAGTTAGTAGCCACGCCCACTTACTGTCGAATAGATAGAAAGAGAAAGAGACAGTCGTTCAATAACCACGCTCACATACTGTGTCATAGGGAGATAGAGACAGTCGCTCAGTAACCACGCCCACTTACTGTGTGAGAGGGAGAAGGAATGATAGTCGCTTAATAATAACGTATCCTTTTTCATTACGCTCTATTAAAGGTAGGCAATGCATCTGCAACTTGTTAGATATGTCTATGTGCAGTGGTCACTTCGCTAACTTAGCGAAGCCTCTTGCTCCTTTGCCATATACATAACGGCAATATACATAAGTTCTTACTTAAAGCCCTGATGGTGAGTTTTATACGATATTGAATCTAATTGGGAAGCAAATTTAGTTAGGCATAACGAAATGCGAGGGGAAGGCAATGTGTAGCTACAATGACCTTGAGCCACCAAGATATTTGAAAAGAACTATACTAAAAAAATATATGAGAATAGAAGAGTCTTTTGGCATCTGAGTATACCGTCCCCAGTTACCAGTGCGTGAAGGGTGGAGCTGACGCGACGCGGGAGAAGGTGAAGGCGCAGTTCGCGTCCACCATACGCTTCGTGGAGAACTACCTGTGCCGCGTCGTCACCAGCACCTGGTACTTCAGCGACCACGACCAGAACAAACTCACCTTCGAGGTCGTCAAGCTGGCCAGGGAACTCATATACTTCGGATTCTATAGGTAAACCAAACTTAAACATAGAAAATATTCTAAAATTTATTATTTAACTAAATGTCTGCCTGAATTAAAAAAGAACGCTTGATTAGTTAACTATGTGTTCTTCCAGACTATATACTACATCTATGCCAAATTTAAACGAGATCTATGCAGCTGTTCTGGACATACCTTCAAACAAACATCCATCCAAACATTCGTATATTACTAAGACTAGCTGTCGCCTTCTAATGCGTTGAATTAAAAAAAAAACTTAACTAGTAGCCTATGTGTTCTTCCAGATTCTGTCCAAAACAAATTTCATCGAGATCCGTTTAGCCATTTTGGATTTACCTTCTAACAAACATCTATACATCCCAACATTCGTATTTATAATATTAGTAAGACTTATATTTTTATATATTTCTGCACTAGCTTCAGCGACTTGCTGCGTTTAACGAAGACATTGCTAAGTATCCTGGACTGTGTGACCGCCATGGACCTGCTCAATGAGACGAGTCCACTCGCGGGAGAGGTCGAGTGTAAGTATATATCATACTGTTATATGTTGGTGTGGGTTTACACTGACAATACCATTACATAAATATATCAGTTTTAATGAAAATATTGTCATACATTTTTGCAAGCAGCTCAAGAATTGGAATTAAAGAAACGTAAGTGTAAACGAATTCAAAGCCAATAGAAGCCTTATAGAGTATATTTTTTAATTTTTTATTTTGGGTAAAATATAAAATTTGTAAAAATTATTCGGTGGAGCTTGTTATTTTTTTTCCATATTTCCTAGTGTTTGTAGGTTTTTTTTTATCTTAACAGTTGGTCGTGACTTCGTTCGGGCGGAATTAAAAAAAAATATTATTAAATATACCAGTAAAAGAATTTTACGAATCGGTTCAGTAGTTTTGGAGTCTATTCAATACAAACATATTATTTACTATTTATTATCTGTATCGGCAGCTGAGGGCGGTGTACTCCGCAGCATTGGAGACATGGGTGCGGTGATGACTTCCATCACCTTAGGCTCCGTAGCGCGCAACGTAAGTACACAGACATTAGTAGACCAGCTAGTCTACTGGCCACCTTGTACCCTGAGCCCTTTGAAAGTCCTGCTGTTCACCAGGTGTCCGGTCCTCAGCACGAGCCCCGTACATTTACCATGCAGTGGTCGACTTTCGAAGACCTCTCCTCAACGGTATTGTCACTAAGTATTGCTTTGCATTTTACTAACCACCTAAGTGTTATTTGTAATTATGTTAATGTTTCCCGTTGGACCGTTCGACTCTGTCTATCGGTCCAATGGGAAAAAATGTGCTTGCGTTATTTTTTTTTACCTTACTGATATGAGGGATGGGGAGATAATAAGAGATTCCTGATGATAGGGTAAAAGTGTATCGGGATTTTTGATGTTTCAAGTGAATGGTTAACACTTTCAATGCTACTACAATTTTTCCGCATGCAAGTGAACTCTCCAGGCGAGTCGTTATGCAATGTGTTAATTATTGAATACTGTGCAGGTGGGCAGTGGGAACGGCGGCGGTGTGCAGGGCAGTCCCTCCGCGCTGGCGCTGGCTCGCAAACATCCCCTCGTCATGGAGACCAAGCTCAAGATCATTGAAATATTGCAAGTCAGTTGAAGTCTCACTAAATCTACACTAATTGTCACAATTAGTGACTTTAAGCTATTATTTATGAGATTTTACCATTAGAGTAGCTAGCGCCCCCTGGCAGTGTTAAAAAGTTTTATAAATTGTTGGATAGTTATCTTGATTTATGTATCTTTTTATGTTTATCTTATAAATAATCTAATATTATAAATGCGAAGATTTAGATGGATGGATGGATGTTTGAATGTATCTTCAGAACGGCTGAACTGATCTCGATGAGATTTAGCATACATATAGAACATAGTCTGGAAGAACAGATAGGCTACTAATAATGTTTCTTTTAATTCCGCACGGACGGTGTCGCGGGCAATAGCTAGTTTCTCATATTTTTCATATTCACTGAGCCAGAGTACTTTGTACATCTCTAATACAAATAATTAAGACAACATGGTACTTCCCCAGTTCATCCTGGACGTGCGACTGGACTACCGCATCAGCTGTCTGCTGTCCATCTTCAAGAAGGAGTTCGAGCAGTCGTCAGAGAGACAGGCAGACAGCCTGGCGCGTGCTGATGTGGAAGCTATAGGTCTCCAAGCTGAAGGCATATTTAGTTGTCGGTGAGTTCCCTTAAGCATAACTGACCATTCGGACATTTTTCATTTTTATAAGGGGATAATAATTCCTTTGCTTTAAAAAAATTCTTTAAAATTGACTTGTGACTAAAGCATGGTATATAAATAAAATTTTACGAATAGGAATATTATTTTTTATTAAGAAACAAGATTTAAAAATCGAAGATTAGAAAAAAAAGTCTTATTAAAATATATTGTATTACTTTAGTTTTAAATTTTAGAAGTATCATCATCATCATCAGCTCACTATACGTCCCCACCGAGGGGCTCGGAGCCTACCCTAAGTTAGGGGTGATTAGGTCATAGTCAACCACGCTGGCCAAGTGCGGGTTGACTGCACACATATCTTTGAATTTCTTCACAGATATGTGCACGTTGCATCATTATGTTTTCCTTCACCGTAAGAACGTCGGATAAATGTCCATATGTAAATCGAATATCGAAAAACACATTGGTACATAGCGTGATTTGAACCCAGGACCTGCAGATTACAAGTCAAGTGCTTTAACTCCTGAGTCACCGATACTCTTATAGAAGTATACTTATAATAAAAAAACTATTATATTTAGATATACTATTTTACTATTTCTACTATATTTTAATACTACAAAATAGTATGAACTTAGTTTCTTGTAGTAATTTTCTTTTAAATTAGTTTTTATATATTTTAATAAAAGAATCACGCACAAACTCATTTTGTATAGAGCTGTTAGAATAATAAAGATAATACTAAAATTTCTATATTTATATAAAATAAAACAAATTGTTTAATTATTTTTATAGTTTAAGTAAATTTCAAAATGTTTCTAAGCCTAACTTCTAGTCTTCTATTCCGGTGTTGGCAGACTAACATTGGGCGCTTGGTTGCGGTATATATACAATCCTGAACTATATCTTATATTTCCAGAACCATTCAGACTGTGCCTGACAACTGCCTACCAAAAAATGTAGATTTGTTAGTAAGATGAAATATACATTGCATGATCTGAGTGCATAGATAGTGGTAACAGCATGGGCCCATAATAACTACTGCCTATACTAACCAGCTTTACCCCAAAACCTAACTAAACTTGCTCAAATACATGTTTTTAATAAACTTATATAAACACGCCTAATCACTCACGTATATACGTACGGTGGCGGCACCAACTAGTTTCGAGCCCATCGGGGGCCCTTCATCAGGGTGAGTGAACACTAGTCGGTGCCGCCACTGGACGAATATACGTCAGTGTTTAGTCGTTTTTATATAACTTTATTATGATGTCTCACGAAAGTTTGAATAATTTAATGTTTTTAAATGTTAGAATTAACCCTAAAATTGGGTTTCCATTGCAGTGATATTTGTATTGACTGATATTGTCATCTCACATATACTCGTTGATATAACAGAGACAACAATATATGTCATACAATGTCACGGTATAAGAAACCTACATTTAAGGTCCGTTCGCACAGACTGTGTAGATTTTTATTGCAAATAAAATTGAGCTTTAGACAATTGAAACAAGGTTTAATTTTTTCAAGCCTTTTTAGATTTCTCTTGATAAGAAAAGATGTGCAAAGTAAAATGAAACCTTGATATAATCGCATAAAGTTCACTTTCATTTGCGATAAAAAAATCTCCGCATTGGTCTGTGTGGTCTGACCTATAAACTCCACTGCTGTAACCTATATATTAAATCTTGTTGTCTCTCTTTTTCTTAAGAGACGGAGAGGGATAGCTATATGTTTTTATATATGTGTATTGATATTGGAAAAGTACAGTTAGAATTTGTGTGTCTGTTCGTACGTGTTTACGTGTGTATACGTTGATGTGCGTGCGCATTTGACACTGTGCGTGTGTTGTAGGCGATGTTAGAATCACATCTGTTTTGTTCCACGTTTTGCTTATTGTACCGCTAGTTCACATTCAGCTTTTTAGTATTTGCTAAATGGAATAGGTCTGTCTATTTTGTTTAATAACTTGAATTTTCGTAATACGCGTTCCTTTATGTATATTTAATTAAAAACTTACCGTTGAATTCTGAGACCAAAATCACTGTATAAAACATATCGTCATCCCTGTCGTTGTCTTTGACTAAACAGAGATAACAATATGTTTTAAACGGGGATTTCGGTCTCAGAAATCCACAGTCGGTAATTTATAAAAACTGTAATTTTTTTTCAATAATTAGACTCAATTATTTTTTCTCAAAAATGTCAAATATAAGTGTTCATATCTCAGATATTGAATTACAAAATGGACAGATCAATCAACATCCTCACTATAATATGTACTGTATACACATAAGAATAAGGTATAAAATACAGGGACGGTCTGGACCTGGACGAGTGCGGGGGCCGCATGGTACTGCGCGTGCTGCTGCAGCTGTGCTCTCAGGGCGCGTCTGCTGCGCTGGTGTCAGGTGCACTCGCGCTGCTCTTCCGACACTTCAGCCAGAGGCAGGAGGTGCTCGCTGCCTTCAAACAGGTTAGTTTCCAGTTGACAGCCTTTTGGCGTTGTTAGACTAGATATTTTTGTAGAAGCAATAAGGAGACGATGCTGTATAAATGTTTTCAGATATCTTAGCGGCTCTTAATTGCTCGCGAATTTGCTAAGCAGAACATAATGTATGGTGTGTTGGGGCGTTAGGGGAAGCAGGTAGAGGGCACTGCGCCGTGGGCCAGTGACCTTGAGCGGCCAAGATATGTGAAAAGAGTTGTGTGCTGAGTCTATGCGAAGTAGTTTTTAGCGGGCGATTTATTATCGTTGCAACCTATATCTCTAGATTGCTAGTAGGATCTTAAAAATATGTAGAAATAACCTGACAGATATTTGACCTTTCAAATAACAAGAAAAAAAAGCGTGTCACATTGTGTTGTATGTCCGCATTTGTTGTTTGGTCTAGGATTATAATATAATTCGTTTAGGTGCAACTGCTGGTGTCGGACGCGGACGTGGAGTCGTACAAGCAGATCAAGGCGGACCTGGACGTGCTGCGCCAGAGTGTGGAGAAGTCGGAGCTGTGGGTGTTCAACAAGGGCCGCGCGGGCGCACTCGACGACCACACCGGTCTGACTAATATATCACTATGCTTACTAACTTCGTTATATTATAATAGGTCGAAAAACTCAAAGTAGGTGGCGCCACTGCCAAGAGTTCACTGTCATCTATCATCTGTCAAAATTTCTATACGTCTCTAACGATCTTTTAATAAAAAATAAAAATGTATTAACTATTGAGTGTGCCGGAATTAAAAATAGCTCCGAACCTGTAATATATCTACAGCTGGAATCTTAACGCGCTTAATTTCAGAGCTAAAAGGCACAGTGGGTCCCGGCGGAGCTGTGCTGGAGCGGAATGCGTCACTGGACAACGTGCTGGACACATCGCGCGCCACAAAGTACGACCACATGCACGAGTACGAGAAGATCAAAGAGGTATGTTGAATTTGCAGCGATTAATACATATTGTTGTCTCTATCTTGACAAAAAGAATGAAAGAGATGTCAATATGTATTTTAAACCTATTTAGAAAAAAGAAGAAAATTCTCAGTCGTGTTTTTATTGTTTATAACTAGCTGTCGCCCGCAACTCCGTCCGCACGGAGTTAAAGAAAACATTTAATTAGTATCCTATGTGTCCTTCCTGACTATATTTTACATCTATGTCAAATTTCAGCGAGATCCATGCAGCTATTCTGTAGATAGGTTCAAACAAACATCCATCCATTCATCTAAACATTCGTATTTATAATATTGTGTGTATGATTTGGTTTATGATAGATATGTTTGTGTATTTCAGATCCTGCAGCGCATGATAAAGTACTGCACGCAGGGCAACAGCGGGGGCGGGGACACGGGCAAGCCGCGCCGACACGAGCAGCGTCTGCTGCGCAACATCGGCGTGCACAACATCGTGCTCGACCTGCTGCAGGTCACACACACCTGCACTCACAAACACTTCTGCTATATACATATTCATTTAACTGTCTGTATGTAACATATGTAACATACAATCTGATGAAACGCCTAATTTTCAAATTTTATGTCTGTGTGTCTGTCTGTCCGCAAAGCAGCGATTATTCCTGCTTATTTATGGAAGGATATCTATCGATAGGTTCTTGAGTTTCCTGGCACGAATAATTTGCAAGCGACTGGTAATTGCGATAGTTAGCTAAGGGCAAATAGGGAAAAGTTATTGATGAGTGAAAATTATTAAAGCAGATCTTTAATTTACTCCAAAATCCTTACAAACACCCAACTTAGAGCTGCTGCACAAACTTTCAATTACGCACACGCAGTTCTAAGTGCCCCCTATCGTGTAAGTGCAGTGTTACAAACTTTGTTCTCCAGGTGCCTCACGACGAAGACGACGCGGCAATGGACGAGCTGCTGGCTCTCGCGCACGAGTTCCTGCAGCGCTTCTGTCACGGCAACCAGCAGAACCAGGCCATCCTGCACAAACACCTCGATCTGTTCCTCAATGCTGGGGTAAAAATTATTAGCACACTCTATATGTAGTAGTTACTATCATTTATGACGTCATCGTGAATATAGAAATAATACAAGGAGTAAGGAATGATGATTTACACATATAGAGGGCGCCATAGTCATATAATTGGATATTAAAAATTTTTTGTTAGTTATAGAGCTGTCTTTCCTACTTATTTGTTAAGGATGCTTCAGACATTGTCTATGGTTACCTAGCAATATTAACTCATCTATGTCCCATAGATCCGTGAAGCGCAAACTGTGTGCGCAATATTCGAGGAGAACCCCGCGCTGTGTGCTCACGAGGGTAACGACAAGGTGGCGGCGCACTTCGTGCACTGCATAGAGACGCGCGGCCGCCGCCCCGCATACCTGCACTTCCTGCGCACCATTGTACGCGCCGCTGGTCAGCACATCCGCCGCAGTCAGGACCTCGTCATGCAGGAGGTACATACATACATACCAAAAAAAAATTACACGCTTTTTTTGGAATTCGCCAAAATAGCGAAACGATCCTACCTTTAATCGATGGAGGAACGCACAGAAAGATAATAATGCCCCCTGCTATACGGCACCTCCTTCGTCAAAATCCTTCATCGTTTCCTTATAAGAAAAGGGTGAGATGGAAAAGAGGACTAAAATTTAGGCCTGCGGTATATGATTTGGGATGTATGTCATCTCGTAGACCGCTCGTGATGCGTTTGAGCGAGAACTTAATCATTTTAAATAGGTTTTTTTCATAAGGTAAGGTTTTTTTTAAAACATAGAAGCAATTCCAACAATAATCCAATGTTATCGTGCAGATGGTGAACGCAGGCGAGGATGTCCTCGTGTTCTACAACGACAAGGTGTCCTTCAACTACTTCATACAGATGATGCGCCAGTACAAGCAGACAAACGAGATGCCTGAAGCATTAAGGTATACAACAACTCTCTCTTTCAATCTATAGGAAAACGAGAGATAGAGAGATAGAGATATGTGAGATTTTGTTATTTGTAAGTCTTACAAGTTTGAATATCGCACAGCAAACTGTTATTTAGTATGATTTTCACTTTATTAAAGTGAGTTTCCACTGACAAAATACATATATAAAACATGTTTTTGACAATATATGTTTCAATACAAGTTTTTCATCAACATCCAGTCCTTTGACTTATGGTCAGTTTGCCCAGCTTTAGTTGGTCTACATACTACGGATATGTCGTATGAATTCAGGTACCACATCCAGCTGGTGAAGCTGCTGACGTGCTGCACCCTCGGCAAGAACGTGTACACAGAGATCAAGTGCCACAGCCTGCTGCCGCTGGACGACATCGTAGCCACCATCACACACCCTGACTGCATACCAGAGGTACTTACACTAACTTCTTGACTATTCGGTAAAATGACGGTAGTTGATATTTTATAACAAAGTGTGAAACTACCGTCATTTTTGGTTCTGATTTTAAATTTTACTTCTAGTACCTTAATAAACCTTTAACTATCGGATTAAATAGCTTCACTAAGTAAAGATTTCTGGGTGTAATATTAAGTGTAATATAACCGTGGGTTTCTGACACCAAAATATCCGTTTAAAACATATTTACTTGTTTTATCAAAGATTCATTGAGATGACGATATATTTAATCCTGTATTAAAAAATAGCCTTAGAAAGCAACGATAAGTGTTACCGATAGTTATTTATTCATGTTTTAGGTGAAAGAGGCGTACGTGGGTTTCCTGAACCACTGCTACATAGACACGGAGGTGGAGATGAAGGAGATTTACTCCAGCAACTACATGTGGGACCTATTCGAGCGCTCCTTCCTGCAGGACATGCAGGCTATACTGCACAGTGACGCTACAGCATATGCAATGCCAAGTACATTATATATTTTTTTTAAATATTGGCAATTTTTTTTTGTAAATTTACTAATATTTCTTTTACCATTTCAACTAAGCTCTAGGCTTGTGGTAGGATATGGTTTACGACAATAGTCGAATGACGGGATTCGAACCCCCGACCTCGTGATCGGAAATCCGTACCCTTAACTATTAGGCTATTGACGCTTAAAAACGCTTCGATTTAAAAGAAATGCTAGTTCATTAATTTTTTTTTATATTCTATGTTATTGGCTGACGACATACATTTTTGCTTAACACTTCCAACATGGATGTCAAATAAAAAGGCTAGTTAAGACATGTAGAATAAAGCACTATACTATCATAAAATAAAATCCAAGATGGTCGCTGTAACAAAATGGCGCATGACATTTTTCTACTATTAGTATGGGTGTCAAATTAAATACCTTGACTAGAAGACTTAAATATATTTAAAAATAAATCGACATAATTAATAAAAGTTATATAACAAATTGGTAATCGTGAGTAATTTATCAGGTACATCTACGGACGAGGTGTTCTCTCCGCAGAAGTCATGCGCGAGCAGCACGCAGCGCGCCTGGCTGGCGTACGTCACTGACGTCCTCATGCATACTATATGCACATTCTTCAACTCTCCCTTCAGCGACCAGAGCACCACTGTACAGGTACCTTAATACTACACGTTCGCCATACACGGACTGCTGCAGACAAGGCTTAGTCAGTTCGCATAGAGTAGTATGAATTTGTATGTATATTCATAATAATAACTGACATTTATTATGTGGCTTTCCGTGGATTTTATCTGCAGTAAGTAATTTTTATTTAAAGTTATAATTGTAGTAGAGCGTCAGTGGCTCAGTGGTCAAGCACTTGACTTGCAATCTGCAGGTCCTGGGTTCGAATCCCGCCATGTACAAATGTATCTTTCGATTTCCGGTTTACATATGTACATTTATCCGACGGTGAAGGAAACATCGTGATGCAACCTGCACATATCTGAGAAGAAATTCAAAGATAATTGTGAAGTCAACCAACCCGCACTTGGCCAGCGTAGTTGACTATGGCCTAATCACCCTTAACTTAGGGTAGGCTCCGAGCCCCTCGGTTGGACCGATAGTGAGCTGATGATGATAATCGTGATTGTTTATAGTTTCAAATATGAATTTTCGTGTCAGTGGATTCAAAAACAAAAAAAATCATAGTTGTGACGTCACTTACTAATATTATAAATGTAAATATTTAAATGTATGGGTGGATGGATGTACGTTATTGAGTATCTCAAATCTATAAATACTACTAATTAAGTTTTTTTTTTAAATTCCGGGTCGAAGTAACAGTTTTTGTATGAAAATGAATATAATATTATGTATGTGTTGTCCAGACGCGGCAGTCAATCTTCGTGAAGCTGCTGCAGACCACATTCCGCATCTACCAGTGTCCCTGGCTCACTCCGCCGCAGAAACTCAACGTAGAGAAGTGCATACGCACCCTCAGTGAAGTCGGTGAGCGCACATACAATTCATACATACATACAAACTGTTGGGAAGAAAATCCGACACTGTGCCGGTGTACTGGCGCAACACTAGCCTTACTAAAATGTCGACGTTTGTGTCCCCTCACTAGTCATTCTGACACTTGACTTTGTAACGAAAGCGTGCCTTTCGCGCTAAAGGATTGTAACTAATCTTATATATAAAATTCTCGTGTCACAATTTTCGTTCCCATACTCCTCCGAAACGGCTTGACCGATTCTCATGAAATTTTTTGAGCATATTGAGTAGGTCTGAGAATCGGCCAACATTTTTTTTAATCCCGCGCGGACGGAGTCGCGGGCGACAGCTAGTAATATTTAAAAATACATACATACATACATAGATGTTACTAGTTTTGTCCGCAGTGGAAACCCATATTTATTCTTCTTCTTCTAGTGCCTCTTCAGTCTTGAAGGTTGGCCGCTAACTTGGAATATTTGGTTCTGTCAAGCGCAAGGCGAAACAGTTCCTCTGCTGACCTAATCCCCGTCCACTCCCTAATATAACGTAGCCACGACTTTTTCCTACGTCCAGCGCGTCTCTTGCCTTCAATCTTGCCCATCATTATCAGCTGAAGTAACTTGTACCTGTCATGCCGCAGTACATGACCCATATTTATTAATTACTCTTAAATACAAAAATACATTTTTATAAATAAAAAACACAGAAATTGCCAAATTTGATAATCACTCCATACAATTATTTTATATGTATTTTACAATCTAAATAATACGAATTATAATAAAAATCAAACGTAATAAAATAAGAAGCATTACCCTGTGTATAATAAGATTCAAACTTTATAACGGTTCGGATATGTACGAGGAAAGTGAGGTGTGCTCCGCCATATTTAATTTTAAACTGTATAAAATATGCACTGCGAACAATCTCATACAATATTCCGAGCAGTCATAAAGTTTGTAAAATACTTAATCGAATTCCATACATTTTGCAGCGAAAAGTCGCAGTATCGCCATACCTCTGGAGCTGGAGGCGAAGATACAGACAGTGTTCGAGAAGGCGGCCGCACTCTCCCGACAGACCAGCAAATGGCTGCAGGCTTCGAAGACCTCCAAACTGGAGAAAATGGCTTCACAGGTAAATATAAATATTAAACTCGTCATTTTATTTAAATTGATTTAAAAACACTAATTTATATTTTAATAATCGTATATTTTAACCGAAAAGTCTATATTTCAACAAAATTTTACGTGTAAATGATTTTTTTTTTCTAAGAACCTTTTTAAGTCTTATTATGGCAAGATTTCTTTTTTTAAGAAAAGCAAAAAGCTAAGTTAATATTAATTTTATAGTGATCGTATATTTTTATAAAGTTGTATGTATGGTATACTATACAAAATGAACATAATGGTTAATGCATAATTTTGTCTCTTTCTTTACAACGGAAAATGAAAGAGATGACAATATAATAGAGTGACAGAGGTCCTAAACATTTTCTAAACAGTTGCAGTCTAATTTCTCTATCTTTATAAACTAATCTTTGTTAATTCTTCATTCATTTTCCATACAAAGTTTCATACAATCTTTAATTTAATTATAAATAACAAAAATTAAAAATAATTTAACACTTTTCAACTGTAAGGATGAAACATTGGAACAACATGAGGGCACAGATACATCGAAGAATGAAGTGAGTTTGTGTGACTACCTTTGTATGTTCTCACATGTATGGGTTTTATTTATGTGTATGTGTTTGTATGATTTTTAAGCCAATATGTGTTATTATTTTGGCCAAATATTTGTTTCGTTTGCAGTATCGGCTTATTCAAATATTAAATCAATTACAAAAAATGTTCAATAAAAAAAGAAACTATAACGAAATTTATGATAAATTATTCATTTAAAATACGAACATCGAAAAAAGTTATAAAATTACTTCTTACTATTGTCTCTTTTTTTTTCTTCCTATATTGTATCTTTTTTCTCTCTCATGTAACGTCTTTTCAAACGTCACACGGCCGTATTTAACTAACAATTGAATAATCTTCTGCTGACCAAGAATTCTTAGTTAAAGAAAAAACTTCAAAACAAAAAAAAACTTATAATTTAGCAGTATTTTTAAACATATGCTAATAGACTGAATGGTAAATATATGCTGAGATTTGATGTGCTGCCTATTTTATAATTTGCCTACACAATTTGAAAAAATTAAACTTCGACGAGATAATTTTTAATAAACTAGATAACGGCTTAACTCACGCACACTTTAGTACCGATTAGTTTCAGGCCAGTCGCGTGACTCCTTAGGGACACACTTACATCTCTGGGAGTCATTCAGTGAGTCATCACGGGTCTAAAACTAATCGGTACATTTGTCACTATTGCCTAATCTTAAGTCTATTCCCCGTACAGTCAAACCTGCAGAACGACCGTTCCGTGATGGAGGGTCTGCAGGAGATCGTGTGCCTGCTGGAGGAGCAGCTGCGGCCGCTGCTGCAGGCGGAGCAATCGCTGCTGGTCGACATCCTCTACCGCCCTCACAGGCTCTTCACTGGTCCTGGAGAGTTGGCACATCCTGATACCAGCGGGATATTTATATCCAGGTCAGAGCATTCAGAGTAGTAAAGAGCGTAGGTGGCTCAGTGGATATGGTCCTGGTCCTGGGTTCGAATCCCGCCATGTACCAATGTGTTTTTGATTTCCGATGTACATATGTACATTTATCCGACGTTCTTACGGTGAAGAAAAACATCGTGATGCTGCACATATCTCTAAAGAAATTAAAAGATATGTGTGAAGTCAACCTGCACTTGGCCAGCGTGGTTGACTATGGCCTTGGGACGCCTAATTTAGAACTGATGATCAACAGAGTATAATGGTTACTTAAATAATCCCTTAGTGAAGATTGAGCACGAGAAATCCTGTAATAAGTAATGTTTCCTTTCCCAGATTAATCCGGCATACAGAGAAACTTCTGGAGGAGAAAGAGGAGAAGCTTTGCGTCAAAGTGTTGCGTACACTGAGAGAGATGATGGCTGTCGACCCGGAGTATGGTGAAAAAGTATGCGTTTTATATCTGTATACTAGCTCTCACCCGCGACTCCGTCCGCACGGAAATAAAATAAACATAATTTGTCAATAAAGTTAAAATTGACTCTACATTTTATTTAGATGTGTGCCTACTGACTGGGATAAGCGAAGTCTGATTGTAATATTGACCATTTAATTAATGAACTGCTTGGTAATCTCCGATATATAGAAGAAAAACCATGGCTTAAACTATTTATTAACGCTATAGAACTTAATATATCAATTTTTTATTTTTTCATTTAACATTTGTCTACCAACATGTTTCCCCAGGGCAACCAGTTGCGAAACAAGTTGCTATCTCAATACTTCGTGAATCGTAAATCAGAGGCCAAGATCCAGCCGCCGCAGCCTCCGCCTGTCGCTACACACGGCCCTGGCGGTAATATACAACTTATAAACTAGCTTTAGCCCGCTAATCCGTCCGCTCGGAATAAATCAAATGTTATTAGTGGCCTAAGCATTCTTCCAGACTATGTTCTATATTTATGACAAACTTCAGAGAGATTTATGCAGCTGTTCTGGAGATACCTTTTAACCAACATCCATACATCCAAACATTCGCATTTATAATATTAGTAATGTTATATTAATATTACTTGAGTGCTTTAAAAGTATTTAGATATTTAGAAAACTAGTTATAAAAAAATAAGTACCATATGTATTCATGCTAGAATAGTGTAGAAGTACATTTGTTTGTATGATGCATGCGACGCAGCCACGCCTCAGCCGAAGAGGGGTAGGTACACTTGACAAATGCTTTATTATACGCATGTACACCGCTTTATAATTTTGTTTTTTACAAATTTATTTATGAATGTGTTTGTTTGATTGTGTTCGTTTATTTATAGTGAGTTTGCTAGAAATTATTTTATAATTTACCTTAAAATTCCTTTTTTTTATAAATATCAAGTGTTGTCAAGTACTTGTTTATGGTAACATAACTCTAAAAATGAATATTTTTATGTTAACAAAGTTATTAATAACTTATATTATATTTAATCTATACTTCATTGTGTTATCAGCCAAAGTGTTGCTGCGCACGGGACAGACGCTGTCGCAAGTACAGGCACACCTCGACCGTGAGGGTGCCTCAGATCTGGTGGTGGAGCTGGTCATCAACAGCGTCAACAGACCCGCCATCTTCCTTGAGGCCATACAACTAGGTATATAACACACATTAAAAGAAAGCTATACTAATATATAGGGGTGAGTCCTTTTTAATTGTTTCATTATAAATGTTGTATTAATTGAATTGTGACAGGCATCGCATTACTAGAAGGTGGCAACCCTATCATACAACGCAGTATATTCACCAAGTTGCAAAATGGAGAGATATCACAATCTTTCTTAAAGGTAAGTACAAAATATTTCAACAATATTCTAGTAACATTTATTAATAAGAAACAAATAACTCGACTGACTGAGTATTTAAAACATGAAATAGCGCCATCTCTTATTTGCATTTTTAAACATTTGAACCCGTCCTTTTCGTAATTTTTTAAATTATCTGCTATGTGTTTTGTGCCGTTTAATATTTCATGACACTCCTGGAATGAAGAGTAGTCAAATGATACCTCATTGGCCAAAATTGGTTCACATTTTTGGGCTCTAGGCACTTACAATAGAATTTTTTAATCATACAAACACACAGACGTAAAAACAGACTTATATGTGCGTCTGTCCACTCTGTTGGTCTTATAGAGTAATATAAGATATATACTATAGACTTCATACTAATTTGCCTACATCTATGCGATGTGTCAGGTGTTCTACGACAAGATGCGAGAGTCGCAGCAGGAGATCAGGTCGCTGGCCACCAGCAGCACGGCCAGCGCGGGCGCAGACAAGCGCGCCAGCCCCACTGACAAACAGAAACCCATCGCCACTGAAGGTTAAACAAAAAATGCCATTTATTTTACAAATATATTGTTTACTCACTTAGCGCCGCGACTTCGTTCGTACAGAATTAAAAAAAAAACTTGAATAGAAGGCTGTTCTTCCAGACTATGTTCTAAAACTATGCCAAATTTATGCGAGATACATGCAGCCGTTCTAGAGAGAACTTCTAACAAACATCCATCCATCCATACATCCAAACATTCATATTTGTGATAAGTAAGGTTTCAATTACCTTAAAAATTCTTTTATTCGTAGGTAAACCATCGCCTGGTCCGATCGTCGTGGGCGAGGACATGGACGATGAGATAACGAACGCGTGCGGCTCCGCGGTACACGCCTACTCTGACATACACACCATGTCACATGGTAATTATAATTCTTTATCTGTGCTCTTCCATTCTTAAACTCCTTGTATAGATTTTTATCGAAAAAAACAAGAAAACGGCTGACTACACCTATGATAGTCAGGGGAATATGAATAGAATGTTTCCAAGACCTAAATCTCTATATAAAAAATCTTCAGAGATTACAATTAGATTATGGTATCTGAAACCAACTTTCTTTCGTTTAAATTTTAGGCCCTTACAAAAGGATTTACATACATAAAAAGTAATACGTGCCGAAAACTACCCTCCCGTCAGTAGGGTAAAAATAGTCAACGTAGTAATAAGATATTTAACTTTGATTTTCATATATATCTGCTTTATCTTTATCTCATCCACAGGTACAACAGTCCTGGAAGAAATAATGTCGGAAAAGAAACGTGAGACGAGCAACAGTGATGTGCTGCCTCCCAAGGTGGCCGTCATGAGACCTATACTGCGCTTCCTGCAGCTGCTCTGCGAGAATCACAACCCTGACTTACAGGTATGCAAAAAAATATTACTAATATTATAAATGCGAATGAATGAATGGATGGATGTTTGTTTGGTATCTCCAGAACGGCTGAATAGATCTCGATTAATTTTGGCATATAAAACATAGTCTGGAAGAACACATAGGCTACAGCTAGTAGGAAATAAATGCAAGAAATATGTCTTTTGTTTATTGGTTCTTTTTTGTTTTGAAGTAAGTTTCAGAATAAAAAAGTGTAAAATCGAATGAATCGTTATTTTAAAATGCAGACAATAGATGGCGTTATTTCAAATAGAGCCTCGGACTTTTCTAGTTCTAATTGTCTTATAATCTTTCAGAACTTACTACGTAATCAAAACAACAAAAGCAACTACAATCTGGTATCAGAGACTTTGATGTTCCTGGACTGCATCTGCGGCTCCACCACTGGCGGTCTGGGGCTGCTGGGGCTGTACATCAATGAGGGCAACGTGGCCCTCATCAATCAGACCCTGGAGACCCTTACTGAGTACTGCCAAGGTATACTATGACAAATATGTTCTTGATAAATCTTAAGTGTTAACAAATAAATTAAACGAACTTAAGTCTGCGAACAATTGCCACAAATTGCCTTAAACTACGTAATAAGAGCAGATGGTTAAAACTTCAAAGTAATATTTTGAATGTTTGTAAATTATCAAAGTCTTGTTAACCATCATCAATTTTGAACCTTAGGTCCTTGCCATGAGAATCAAAACTGCATAGCAACACACGAGAGCAACGGTCTAGATATTATAACAGCACTCATCCTGAACGACATCAACCCACTGGGCAAAACACGTATGGACCTCGTGCTGGAGCTGAAGAATAACGCCTCCAAACTGCTACTTGCTATCATGGAGTCACGCAATGACTCTGAGAACAATGCTGAAAGGATACTGTACAATATGAACCCGGAACAACTGGTAAGTCTGAATACTATTGGTCCTTCAAGCCGGATCTTGTAGACGTTTGTCTTGTCAGATTAAATTAAAGGGTTTTTATTTAATTATTTGTTTTAGGTGGATGTTGCGTGCTCTGCTTTCAACCAGGAACACGCGATGGATGCAGACTCCGACTCTGAAGATGATGCGCCCGTGCAAGGCGTGTCTCCTAAAGAAGTTAGTAATCTATTAGCCAATTAGATCACTCTTTTTCTTTCTAACTAAAGCTTGTAACTCGTGTTATTGCAGGTGGGTCACAACATCTACATCCTGTGCCACCAGCTGGCCGGCCACAACAAGGAGCTGGCTGCCCTCGTGCGCGCCACGCCCTCTGGTGTCAACGCGCCTGCACTGCAGTACTACCGCACGCACACCGCACAGATTGAGGTAAACAAGAGAGTTCATCCGCATGAAAATAAAAAAAAAACTAGCCTATGTGGTCTCACAGGCTATGTTTTACATCTATGCCAAATTTCAGCTAGATCCATGCAGCCGTTCTAGAGAACATCCATCCTTCCACACATGTTTTCATCTTACCTACCTCTTGTATACAGATCGTGCGAACGGACCGCAGTATGGAGCAGATCGTGTTCCCTATCCCGGAGATCTGCGAGTACCTGCCGGCGGACAGCAAGCACCGCGTGCTGCAGACCGCAGAGCGCGACGACCAGGGCAGTAAAGTGGCAGACTTCTTCTCGCGCCTTGATAACCTCTTTCACGAGATGAAGTGGCAGAAGAAACTAAGAGGTAGGGAGAAATATCATACGTATAAGCGTACTCGTGCACACATGTGCTCACGTACTCAAAAGCAATGTAGTTTCTTTTCTCTTTTCTCTAAGTATCCTTTCTCTTTCTTACAGGTCAGCCATTCCTATTCTGGGTGTCATCGTACATGTCGCTATGGAGCAACATCTTGTTCAACTTCGCTGTACTCATCAACGTCATCGTGGCATTCTTTTATCCATTCCAAGAAGAAAATCCAAGTGAGTTCATATCATTACTTCTGACAAATTGACAGCTGACAATAGGATGGCTCACATAACTGAAGGTCGCGACTTATATTTCTATAGATTATTTGTGACTGTATTATTGTTTATTGCAGAGTTGGGCCAGCACTTATCGCTGGTGGTGTGGTGCGTGTCACTGGCTGCGGGCACGCTGGTAGCCTGCCTGCCTCGCTCGTCTGGTGCACGCGCACTGCTCGCCAGCGCCATCGTGCGCCTTATATACTCCGCCGGACCTGAGCCCACGCTATGGGCGCTCGGCATGCTCACTGTTAGTATCCTAACATCGACAGCACGTAAAACACCAGATTTACGCACATAAATATCCTTTTTATAGCTTTGGTCCTTCGAGCACTTATTTTCTAAGAACCAAAAATGAAATCCAGTTTAATAAGTTTACTTAAACCTTTGATTTAACGTTATCGTTACACTGATTCTGATAGGTCAGTGAAATTTGCAATTTCCGTGATTTATTATAGCGCCATCTAGTGACGTTTTACTGTGTAGTAACAGGAATAATTTGGTTGCAGATTGTAGTGAAGGGCATTCACCTGGTTAGCATCATGGGCAACCAGGGCACGTTGTCCAAGTCGACGCGGAACGTGATCACAGACCCTGAGCTGCTCTACCACAGCGTCTATCTCTGGTTCTGCTTCCTCGGTATTTGCTGTCATCCATTCTTCTTCTCTGTGCTCGTGAGTACCAACATATCTCGAATTGACCCTTTTAAACTATTCGTCTTTGAAAAAGGACTTGACTTAGATATGATTATGGAACGCACCATAGTGTCCTTTTCCACTAAGACATTCGATTCGCTTACTGCTTTGTGTTAAGTCAGACAGATATATTTACTAGTTTATTTAATATTTATGTTGTCAGTTGTTGGACATCGTGTACCGCGAGGAGACGTTGTTGAACGTGATGCGGTCGGTCACCCGCAACGGGCGGTCCATCTTGCTGACGGCCGTACTGGCGCTGGTGCTCGTCTACATGTTCTCCATCGTAGGCTACATGTTCTTCCGAGACCATTTCCTGCTCAACGTCGACCGGCTCGATGGTAAATATGTGTACTATACAACCACGATAACATGACAGCTTCACAATGTATGTTTATATATATTGTTTGTTTTATAGTTTTCGTTACAGCTTTTTGTAGAATTATTGCTAATAGTATTTTCATCTTACTAATATAAATGCGAGTGTTTAGATGGATGGATGTTTGTTTGAAGGTATCTTCAGAACGGCTGAACGGATCTCGATGATATTTGACATACATATAGAACTTAGTTACAATAGTTACTGATTTGACAATAGATGGCGTTATTATTTACTAAAAAGTTATAGATGGCGCTAGCATCGATGCATCTTAAGAAAGCTATCGTTATGGTTATGATATGTTTATGTTAAGACGACGACGACCCGCGGTTCGAGGAGCGGTGCGACAGCAACCCCGCCAGCAAGTACCAGCGGGCGCCGCGCTTCGTGTCAGTGGGCGGGTCGCTGCGGGAGCGGAGCTGCGACTCTCTCATCATGTGCATCGTCACCACGCTCAACCAGGGCCTGCGCAATGGCGGCGGCATCGGAGACATCCTGCTCGCACCCGCCAGCTTTGTTAGTACATAAACATTCTTTTTTATATACTTTTAGTTATAGTGCCTCAATAGTTACTATAAACCTTAGTGATCAGTTAACGTCTCTGAGTGTGTAAGATGTAAGTTATATTTCCAGGAGCCATTATTCGTTGCACGCGTGGTGTACGATCTACTATTCTACTTCGTGGTGATCGTAATCGTACTGAATCTGATATTCGGTGTGATCATCGACACATTCGCAGATCTTCGTAGTGAGAAGCAGCAGAAAGAACTTATATTGAAGAACACATGTTTTATATGTGGTAAGATATATCACCTCACTTAAATATAGAATAGATTATTATTAGAACAATTTTGAATTTTTTGGTCCTTCGAGTCGGATGTTTTACATTTGTTGCATGTTCTTGCAGGGTTGAACAGGTCAGCCTTTGACAACAAGACAGTCTCGTTCGAGGAGCACATCAAGAGCGAGCACAACATGTGGCATTACCTCTACTTCATGGTGCTGGTGCGTGTCAAAGACCCCACCGAGTTCACCGGACCCGAGAGCTACGTGCACTCTATGATAAAGGTAATATTGTTTGCACTAACGACTCTTACCGTTGCTTTCTAAGACCATCTTTGACAAAACAGAGATAACAATATCTTTTAAACGGGTATTTGGTTTCAGAAACCAAGTCAAGAGTCATTAAGTGGCTCCGGAATGCAATTACAATATGTATGTTTATAATATCTTTGTTGTGTAGTCGAACAATCTCGATTGGTTCCCCCGACTGCGCGCGCTGTCACTGATGGGCGGAGGCGAGGGTGATGGCGGCGAGGTGGAGCTGCGCGCGCTGCAGGCCCAGCTGGAGCGCGCGCAGTCAGCAGTGCGCACCCTCACCGACCTCCTCACTGAGCTGCGCGATCAGGTATGCGTAACATACATACCTGATGAACAATTTAGCTGGAATTGCACTATAATTGGAGTGTGTTGTTCCAGGTTTGATTTTTATAAGTGCAAGGTAGATTGGTAGTGAGTAAGTGAGCGTGGGCCCTGGTTGCTTGGCGAGATGTGTGCGTAGGACAACTTGCGTGAGCATATGGAGGAGGCATCCTCCGGGGCCTTGAAAACGATATTAAAGTCGAGTCGAGTCGACTGTTGTTTTTCAAACTCTAATCGGTATCAAACCTATTCTTCAGATGACAGAGCAGCGGAAGCAAAAGCAACGCATCGGTCTGCTCAACTCGACGTCTGCGTACCTCCAGAACTTGCAGATGAACCTGCCGCCGTGACCTGCCACGCCCCACAGCGGACAAGCCACGCCTCTCTGCACCGCCCACATCGCCCACAACTCCCGTACTACGTATACGTGATTTTATTATTATAAAAAAACCTTAAATATTACAAAAAATCTCGTCATTAACTTTTTAAGAGTTTAATAGTTAAATCTACGCTAATTGACTCGATTAGTGACCATTTAGGTATGTGGGTATAGTTTGAGAGATGTTTGTTTAACGCACAATCGACTTTATTATTGTTGTTTCACGGTTTATTTTCCCATTTCAATCTTCAATGACACACGACATTCATTAAGTCGTGAAAGTAACTTTTCTTATCTTAACATGTTAAGTTAAGCGGAGATAAAGACAGAGTTGCTTATAATAGAAATATAAAAGTCTATGGTAAACAAAGATGTCCGCATTAGATTGAGATGCTAAGGATATTTGACTATTAAAAAAAATAACATAGCTAAAATATATCTACATGTATTCTACTAAGACGTCCTACAACATGTAGTTCATGTATAATTTAAAAAAGCAATATGTCACTGTGACATTGACAGTTGTTTGACAGACCGCCAGAATCTCGCGCCATTTAGATGTCATATTTGACAGATTCGTTTTTAAATCAACCAAAATGTATATTTGTTAAGGGTTAATGTTGAGGCTTAGTAACTTTTAATAAAGTTGGTAGCAATAATTTACAATGCGTATATTAATATGGAGAAAGAATATATAATTAAATCGTGTATACGGTTATTAATGGCAACACCGTTAGGAATAATTATGAACAAGTTCGTTGGTGACGTAGTACTTATTTTGGAGTGGGCTGTTTTATTTAGAAAATTACTTTAAATTCTTCTAGTTATTTCAAAAAATCTATTTTTCACTATTGTTATTCAATCTTGTTGTTACATTAAGTCTATACTGTTTCAACTTATTAAAAATGTTTAACTAATCCATTGTTATTCTCGCCATGTTTTTGGCAGTGTTTTTCTTCTTAATAGCTCCTTTGATATACTTAAATATGTGCAATAATAGCTCAAATCCGTTACCTATAATATAAGAGAAAATCGAATATTATTTTTAAAAATCTTTTAAAGATCTGAAGTGTTGTCTGAAACTGGCAACACCAATTAAGTTTAATAAATTTTTTATCCTTTTATTATAAGTTTTATTTGACAGTTTTTAGGTTATGTATTTCTGACGTAACAATGGTTCTTGACGTTATATTTCCCGCCTTCGGGAAACCATCGACAAGAAATGTCTCGGAACTGTCAATTTGTTTTTTTAATATCTTATATTCACACATTCATTTATTGGATAAAGGTAAATGAAGATCGATTCCCTTTTAATTATCTCTATAATAGAGAAAAAAATTCAGAAATAACATTTTGTTTATAGTTACCTTAAATAGTGTAATCTTGAGGTTTTAATGTGAAATAAAGTGCCAAGAATATTTAAAAAAAATTCCCAATAAGATCTGACTTTTATTTATAGCCTATTATTTTGTACTTAAATATCGAACATTTTTCTTTTTTTATCCGCTTTTTTTGTTTTTTCTTATTGTCTATTCTATATTTTCACAGTCTTAATATTAACAGGCTAAGGTACAAATTAGATAAAGAAATTTACTTTATTTCTTTCGATTTCATTTTAAAATGATTTTAGTCAAATTATTTTCTAGATCCATGCATTTTCAACTAAACATTCTAATACGACAGTATTTATCTATATTTTTTTATCTTATATACATTCCTTATTTACTAAAACATTATGTTGCAATAAGATACTGGAAATAAAAGAAACTAATAGATAGCGACAATATATTTGTCTTATTAAACATTAGAAAGTTTATTTTTTATTTTTCTTCAGATAATAGTCACAGAAATATCGTAATTTGCTCGAACCTTTGCCAATAACTTTCAGTTTTTTAAGTTTTATTTTTGTATTTAGCAGATAAAATATATGTTTAATTACGGACCTTGTTGTGATGCTTCGATGAAATGTTTTGTTTCTTTAAAAAAATAAAAAAATGGCACAAAAGATATGTTTTATTTGTGTGCCTGGACCTGGATTACTAACCTTGGGTTTTTGAGACCAAAAGTTCCGCTTATATTGTTATCTATTTTGACAAAAATGAGAGAGGTGACGATATGTTTTATACAGAGATTTTGGCCTTGAAAACCAACGGTAAATCGGTAAAAATTAAAAAACGATGTGTACCCAGCGATTGAGTTGGCACGTCGTATTTAAGAGTACTTTAGTTGCGGATGTGCCAACTAAATTAGCGAAATCAAACACTGCCTTTACAGCCTTCCCGTCCACTTCACATGGTCCTACAATAAAGATTAGGTGAATAAAATTTAGTTTAAAAGTCCGATAGCGATAAGTTATCATTATCGATGATAAAATTATCGCCGCGAACAGAAAGTGGTGAGACGCGCGGCCGCCATGCGTCTCCTGTACCTCGTTATCACAATAGGTGAGTACAACACAATTATTTATCTGTTTATTAAATGTATGTCAAATATACAACAAAATATTTAATGCGTATTTATTTCGCAATAAATTCTATAAAAAAACACTTATAAAGTTTGTATAAAATATTGTTGGAAAAGTATTGTTTGGTTTTTGCTCATAAATTAACGTTTTAATTTTGAATTGTTACGTGCCATTTAAAAGTAATATTGAACTGCAATTTCTGTATGCGTTTTTAGGAAAACGAGCTATCTTAATATCTTCTGGGAATTAGAATATATAATTATCTTTATTACTTATGCATACTTAATAACAATTATAGATAGTTTTCCGGAGTATCTTATCAAATACTATAAGCAACTCGTTATAGTCCATCTAAATGTAGAAACTTATCTTTTAACTTAATTGAAAAAGTTCACCAGGTTTGTTATTACTTGTTTTTAATAAGAAGGAGATTAGTAGTCTTTTGACCTAATAGTTTGTAATAAATATATCGCGGTTATTTTCAATTACACCGTATGTTTACATCTACTCTATTTTTTATTTCATTATTTAGGATTTAGGTATACTTTTTATCACGACCACTCAAAATCAAATACGTTAATATGGAGTAATTTATCCATATTTACATTTTTGCTTTTAAAAATGATTTGGTTTAATATATTATACGATGTGTATAGGCTTGGCCACAAGCGAGGAGTTCCGTATAAAGACAGCGGAACTGAGCGCCAGTCCACCAGGCACACGGATCATTGGTGGCAACCCTACTGTCATAGAGAGGCATCCCTACACTGTACAGGTATTAATCATCAGTTCCCAGACGTTTACTGTAAATTCAGCCAAATAAGGTCAATAAATCCATAAATTCTAGTCGAAATAATGTTTAAAATGTCGAATTCATCCACATTTAAAATTAGATAGTTTGAACGCTAGAGGCCTCCGATATTTTTTTCTTTTAAATACTCGAATTGGGTATTGTTTTCAGATCCTGGTCGGCAGCCAGCTGACATGCGGCGGGTCTCTGATCACGCGGCGACACGTGCTGTCCGCCGCGCACTGTTTCGTCCGCGAGTAAGTGCAAGAAGTACTTCGAAATGTATCGGTTATTCATTGTACAGGTTGAATCTAAATTGTTTCCTTTAACAGGGACGGTACTGTCGCCAGTCCTAGAAACTTCAGAGTGCGAGCCGGCGCCACTTACTTGAGTACAGGTAGTTTTGTTGTGAAAAGTTTTTATTTGTTAGAATAATTCACTGTATTAATTTTTCACAAGAAAACCTTTATTTACTGTAATTAATTGCTATGATTTTGTTTTCATATACAGGCGAAGGCACAACAATTGCGATGTCGACCATCATAGTGCACGAGCGCTACAACATAGTGCCGCGCGACGCGGACGTGGCGGTGGCGCTGCTGGCGGGGGCGGTGCCGCAGTCAGCGCGCGCTGGCCCCGCCCCCATCGCCCCTCCCGGCGTCGCACTGCCGCAGAACGCTAGCGTCGTGCACGTCGGCTGGGGACGCACTAATGTAACTTATAGACACATACGTCTTTAATCCAGACCAGAGTAGATTATGTTTAAATGCAGCTGGACACTAAAAGAAGTTCGATTTGATTAGTTATATGGATGCTTATTAATATGCTGGTATTAGGCAAACATCCCGGAGTCGTCAGATGTACTGCGCGAGGTGACTATCTTCAAGGTAGAGCGCAGCGTGTGCGCGGCCCGATACCGTCAGCTGGAGGTGCTCACCGGGGAGCCCTTCCCAGTCACCACCAACATGATCTGCGCAGGTGTCTTGGATGTTGGAGGTGAGACGGCAATAATGATATTGTTACCATCGATTTTTATAACCAATGCCATAGAAGAAGTGAGTTTTAGAACTAAAAAACTCTTGAAATAAGTAATCTTCAATAGATATTGTCCTTATTGTAAGTGGTCAAAATAGACTTTTAAAAATAAGTCGTATTTCAAAGCAAAAAAGATTATTTTACACAGAGATTAGATTTATCGTTTATTGACCGTGCGATTACGCTTAAAAGTATGTTACGTCGTATGTGGCTATATTTTGGCAAAATATGTACATATCAGGCAAGGACGCGTGTCAAGGCGACAGTGGAGGCCCGTTAATGTTCAACGGGGTGCTGGTGGGCATCACTTCGTGGGGCTACGGCTGCGCGCAGCCATACTTCCCTGGCGTCAGTGCCAGGGTCTCTGCCTACACAGAGTGGATAAATAGGACTGTGAGTGTTTTCTGCGATGTTACTGTGATATTCATTTGAAACTTCTAACATATATTGTTGTTTCTGTTTTAATAAAATTTTATAAGCTAAGCTTTGGATCTTTGTAATCAGGTGGTGAGATATAACGACGGCTACAGGCTAAGTGTGAGCCAGTTACCACTTATGTTATCTGCCGTTTTGGTAAGTTATTTCATAACGTTTTTACCATTTAAATTCATTTAATTCCATAATTGTAAATTTACTTGGTAAAATTTTAGTGAAATTGTAAGTCCGGCTCGAAGGACCAACATTTTCGCTTCTAATTTTAAGGGTTAAGGTGTTAAATAAAAATGTCAATTATCGAGATATCACATATGAATAGTTTATTTAGGATTAATGATATAGATATAGTTTATGATACACGGTACAATAAATATAAGGTACTTTGTGAGTCGCTACACTTGTCATGAGGGCGCGGCCGCGCTCAGCGACACCACCACCACCTGCCGGCACCACGCTGGAACACGACAAACATACAATTTCATTAAGTTCTATGTCTTGCAAAAAATACTATATTATATAAAGATTCTATACTGCAGAGTCGCTAAATGTTACATAAACAGTTCTTAGTATGGCTTCAACATATAACATAGAGAAAATCTACACAACACCAACTGAGGGTAGTCTTTTGTCGACATTTAAGACTTTGACTTTGAGTGCAGCAGGCTTTTGTATGTTACCAAATTCTCTCAAATACAATTGCTATAATGTATTGTAACTAACAGTGGTGTTTGTGTTCTGCAGATGATGTGCACCAACCTCTATCTGTGAGCACGTCGTCCACGAGCACGTCGGCGAGCAGCGTGCCGGCCTGTGCGCGCGCAGCTTGCGGCCCCGCCCCCGCCCCCGCCGCGCACAGCCCCGCCCCCGACACCTCCGCCCCCTCGCGCCACGTCTGCCCCTCTACCTCCACGCAGCGCCACTTGTTCAGCTCCTCCGTCGCAGACACGCTCTCACACTTCTCCTATACAACATTTTTTTGTAAAAAATATAATTTACAGTGTTTGAACTTTACATGACACATGATTTGTAATAGTTTTGGAATATAATACAATACGAATTTATTTAATGAATTGTTATTATATAGTTAATTTTAATATAAAATAGATTAAGATTTATGTAATATATTTAAGTTCGCTGTAATTTAAACACATAATTAAAATATTTATAGATATTCAAGCATTTTTTTTCATATCCTTTCTTGTACGCACAATACAAATTATCTCCCTCCACCGCTAAATACTTAAGCAGCCTTTAAATAAAAAGATATCTCATACGAAATCTATTTAGGAACACATCCATAGTGGCCATTTAAGGACTAAAGCCATAAGCATTTTTTTATTAGTATATACAGGCAGACTATGGCCTAGTCACCCCTGACTTAGGGTAAGCTCCCAAGACCCCCGGTGGAGACGTATTGATGTACGTGATCTTATGATGATGATACAGGCTGTATGTACATACATCAGGCGTGTGCTCGTGTTGGCTGTAGGTGCGCTCGACGAAACGGTCGAATGCGGAGTCTCGCTCGAGGTCGAGCGTGCGCGCGAGCACGGTGCACGTCATGTCACGCGCCGGGTCCACGATCAGGAAGCTGCGTTCCTTGTCTTCCGATATTTCTTCAGCCGCCTGCTTCGGGTCAGTCTAGGATTATAGTTTATCATAATACAAGGTCTTGGCAAAATAACTTACAAGTGGAAGTGACTTGCGATCTTGTAATATTTACCTGTTGTGGTGCGGGGTCGAGCACGGTGGCGACGCGGCCGCTGAGCGCGTCCGTGATTACGTAGCAGCGCGCGCGCGCCGCGTCCGTCAGCACGTACGTGTCTGCCGCCTCCGCCTCCGCCCCGTTCTCGGCCACGCCCTCCGCCCCGCCCTCCCCAACGCCGTCCTCGCACCACGACGTGTTGTCGCACGACATGTCGTCAAGCGCGCTCTCGCCGAACACGTGCGAAGATTCTTTAGCTGCAACAAATGAAAACATTCTAATTATCATATACATTTTTTATAAAACATTTCAAACCACTGCCCATGAATCTCGTTCTTATACTTATATAAAAATGCAAGAGTTGGTAAGCGAAGCAACCGATACGGTAGTTTGCAGCATTTTCAATTCTACATTGACATTACGTATCGTGCAATCTCGAGTAGAGAGTAGGAGCGTGAGGGCCAGGCCGGCCGGGATGTGAGGGTATGTACATACCGTGGTGGCAGGACGGAGGGTGTCATGCGGCAGGGGGCGGGTTGTAGGGATGTGTACGTACCGTGGTGGCGGGCGGGGGGCGGCAGGCGGGGCAGCAGGCGGCAGAGGGCGTATCCGCGGCAGGGGGCGGCGCGCGCCACGCGGTACCGGCGACGCGCGCTCTCCCACTCCTCGCCCGCCTCTACAACAGCCGGGTGCTTAGGGTCCAACCACGCATATTTGAACCCCTACTACGTAAGCCCGTCGCATGTCTGCGGTCAAACCGGGATTACGTTCTGTCTTGTATTATTATTCTTTCTTTAATAAATGTTGTTTTTAAAACTGCACCATTTTGGTGTTAGTAAAAATTTTAACAATCTAACATATCTAAAGCTTCAAACAATTTCGTATGAACGTGGTTCGACCTTTCATTTTTGCTCACTTCACTATAAATAGTGCTATAAAATATTTTTTTTAATTTACAGCAATTAAGCTATTTCGATCGTCATATCGTGATTTGTAGGTTACGATCTGTGTTTTATCTGATTTTAATTATAGCCGAATATAGTGTAGTGAACAAAAGCCAGGAGTGAACGGGATAAAAAAGGTAAATGCCGAAAGCGATAAAAGCGTAAAGAAGTTATACTAACAAAGATCTGTTCCTTGGGGCTATTAAATTAAACCCTATATATTTTATAATGACATATTCACCTTCGTACGCGCTGCCCGCGCCGTCGTTAACGTTGTCAGACATAATCTCATGTTCCTCATTGCCATGCTCCAAAAACACGTCCTGGAATTTAACATCAACATAGTAACCAATATTTGATTTTTCACATCGGAATCACGAGTACTCTTCTCCAAGACGTGTAAATTTGAGAAGTTTGAAGGATTCGCACCTTGTTGGGTGCATGTTTGTAGTGCAGGCTGATCTTGCTCAGCTCGTGGTCGAGATGGGCTAGGCGGGACGCGTGCGCCGCGACGCCCCCGGCCACGCCCACCGCCCCGCCCGCTTCAGGCCCCTCGCCCGCCTCGCTTCCCGGCGCCTCACTACCCTCTCCCGTCTGCATACAATGTTTTAGTTAAGATATCAAATATTACAAAAAAAAATCGAAGCATAATTTCGTAGAAAGTGACGTACCTTATGCGTGGGTATGGCGTGCATGGCGCGCTGTGTGGGCGACAACATGGGGCTGTACTCCAACGGAGACTGCGGCGACACCGGGCCCTACACACAACACATAAAAATATTAGAAAATATGACAACTATAAAATATGGTATGCATGTTTGTATGTGTGTTTGTGCATCATATTAATATATTTTTAAAACTCACGCTGTTTGATATAGAGGAGAGCTTCTGCTGCAGAGATAGCATGTACTCGTACGACTGGCTCTTGTTGGGTGTGCTCGGCTGCGACGACCCAGTAGAGTTCATGTTTGTCATACCTGTATATTAACACTTATATCTTATATACTGTAAGAGAAGAATTTATTTATTGTGTTAACAAAAAGCAACTGACCAGCTCCATCGAGTTCTACAGCCCTGCGCGCGAGCGTGTGATGAGCGTGGTGCGCGTGCGCATTGCGGTGCAGCGGCCCCGCCCCCACCAATGACAGTGCAGGTCCGCCCACACCGAACTTCTGCCCACCCATGAGATTCTGTCCCCCAACGCCCAAATTCTGAGTTGCTAGACCTGTTACATAATTTTTACAATGAGATGTCTCTTTGAATACTTTAACTAAATATTAATCGGACGTTTGCTATAACTTAATTACAAATTAAGTAATGCAGTTTACCTAAGTTTTGTCCAAGATTCTGCCCCATGAGGTTCTGGTTGAGCGCCAGGTTGTGGGCGGCGAGCTGATGCTGCAGCATGGGCGCGCCCAGCCCCAAGCCCAGGGCGAAGCCCCCGCCAAGCGCCGGCGCGCCGAGCGGACACACCGAGCCCTGCAGCGCTTGCTGCTGAGCTGGAGGAATGTCGATCAAATTTACACTTGAAACATAATTCAAATATTATAATTTGTACTAAACAAGATTTCGTGTCTTAAAGGCAATTTTATTTTTTTTACATTTTAAATCGAGTCATTTCATTTAAAGTTCCTGATTGTGGCTTATTGACCACTATATAGTGTTTTTTTTTTTGCCTGATGGTCCTTCGAGTCTTTGTGTACATATTTACTTAGGTCATTTATATAATCACAATAAGTTAAACCAAATTTACTTGTTTTAAATACAACTTGCAAAGCGTAATGAGTGATGTTAGTGCAAACAAAATGTAGTTAGACATGTTTTAAACTAAATTATTTACAAAGCTATATAAAATTCGTACCGATGAAATGTTACAAATAGCCGAAGTCTTTGCTTTGCGGTGGAAAGCCAAGTATGTTTAGCTTAAATGTTTTGCAGTAAGCCTGGCGAACTATAAGCCGGCCACCCATATTAAAAAAAAATACTAAATACCGATTAACCCGTAAATAGATTTTAGCAATTTAAATTTAGATATCAAATCAAATTACTCAACAGGATAAAATTTTGAAATATAGCCAAATTAATTATAGCCAATTTATTACCTATGAAATCGTTGGCGGTAGCCGCGCAGGCCAGCACCGGTTGGTAGTACTTCTGCGGCACGTAGTGACCCGGCAGCCGCGCGCCCGCCAGCGTGCCGCACGCTGCGCACACGCAACATTCAACACGCACGCACACGCACACGCACGCACACGCACACGCACGCACAACGCATACCCAATAATATAAAACACCTCGCCAGGTGGCGCCTCTATCGACTTTATAATATTTCCCTATTTTTCCGCAATATGGCGAAGTTTTTATACTCTTGGTTGGGCTATATAATGTCATTTCAACTTAGAATGGACATTAGAAAAAAACATAACTTATTTTCCTTTATACAAAATGTATTGAAACGAAGTAGAAAAATATCAATTCTAAGTTAAAAAATGGTGCAACATATAAGTATTATAAAGTAAATTGTTATTTAGTTAGCATGAAAAAGAAATTTGCCATGCAACATAAATATAAAGAACTTAAGTTTTAAAAGCAATTAAATATATTTTAAAGAATAAATCCGAAAAGAACTATGTCGGTCCTCGTTACTGGACTAGATTTTTATCAAGTCTTTCAATTTCATTGCAATGCAAATATGTAAATTTATTAAGTCGTAATGTTTGTGTGTCTGTGTGTGTCATACCGGGCTGTGCGTTTGTGAGCAGGTTGTTGTGCAGCGCGAGGTCTGGCTGCGGGTACTGCGATTGGTTCAGCAGACCCAGCAGGTTGGGGCCCGTCAGGTTCTGCTGTTGGCTGCAACAGGAATATAACACTTCAATGTGTCGCTGCACTTTGCTAATGTCAAAAAGGTTCATTGTTATACTCACTTCATAATATTCTGCTTCAACAACATCCTCTGTATGTTCTCTGCGTTCGGAAGAGCATCGGTCAGGGTCGCTGCGGGCGCGAGGGCAGGTTGGGCGAAAGGCAGCCGACTCAGGCCCACAGGGTCGGCCAGCGTGGGTCCCACAGCCCCCAGGCCCATTCCGAGGCCCAAATCTGCGCCCACTCCTATCGGCGTACCGACTTGGCTTAATCCGAGGAGGGGCGTATCTGTTGCTATTTGGAGGGGCGTGCTCAAGTTGGTTAGATTGGCCTGAATCGTCCCGCTGAGCAGATTGGGGTTTATCATTGGGTTTTGGAAGGGCAGCGCGGGCGGGATGGTGGGCTGTATGTTGTTGACGATGGGGGCGGTGATGGGCGGCACGACGCTCTGCGCTATGGGCGCGCTGATGGGTATTTCTTGCTTCACCTCCATCCTGTGCTCGGTGACGGTGTGGGGCGGGTGCATCTGCGACGCTACTGAATACTGGTGCGTAGGAACATATTTTTCTTGAGGAATGACTTGCGGTGTGACTTGTGTGGCCGGTGCGGGCTGTGGCGGCTGTGCAGGCTGCTGAGGCTGGTGAGGTTGCTGCGGCCGTTGCATGGCTGGCTGAGGTTGTGAGGGCGGCGGGGGCTGTTCCTCCGGCAGCCCGTTGACCTGGGCGTCTTTACGAGGCTCCTTGGCGACCTCGGAGTACAGCTTGGGCTCGGGAGGCTTCTCGGGCTCGATCTTCTCCTCCACGACGTCCTCACCTCGGTCCACCACGGGGCTGACTAGAAATCTCGATATCTTACGAGTAGGTTTTTGGGTTTTCTTCTCGCCGTTTTGTGATTCAGAACTGCCAGAACGATCTGGTGGTATCGAGCCGCCGTCCGACTGATTAGAACCTAAATATATAAAATGTTTATCTTTTAAAGCAATGTTTTTAATAAGAAAGTGAGAGAAAACATAAATTTTAAGTCCTAAAAAAAAAGAACGATTCCGAAGCTTCTACTGAAAGCTGAAGCAGCTATAGGCTATCAAAAGATTTTAGGTTACTTATAAATAGATGTTATTCAAAGCAGATGACAGATCTTACCTATAGAAGAAGCGGTGCTGATCTTTCGCGAAGATATCTCAGCGGGTAAGTGTGCGGGAAGGGCGGGTGCGGGGGTGGGGCCGGGGGCAGGCACAGATGCGGGTGTGGGTGTAGGAGTGGGCGTGGGCGTTGGTGCGGGATCTGCAGGTGTGGGCGTGGGCGCGGAGGGCACGGGCTCATCGTCGGCCAGCTCGGCGAGCGCGATGCTGTCCTGGCTCGCAGTGGGCGTGGTGCACTCAGAGTTGTCCTGATTCGAATCAGTCAAGTTTTCTTCACGCTCCGTCGTCTCCGAGTCGTAGTCAGTCTAAAAGTAAAGGAACATAACATTATTTTTTAGCGTTCAAGACATATGTATAATTAGTATCAATTGTTGTTCATAAGACAAGTCGTGGTTTAGTGGGCGTGTACCTTATCCATATTGAGGCGGAGCGCGGCGTGGTGGGCGGGGCTGAGCACGGGCGTGGCCGCGGGGTCGCTCAGCAGCTGCTGCACGATATCGCGGATCAGCTCCGTGAACGTCACACTCTGCCACTCCGGTAGCAAGTTGTTTGACACCTGTGATAATATTAATGCGTGACTTTGCCGTCTTAAGTATAAGAACATTTTTAGAAAATTTGCAAATTACAAACTCTAGTTATTTTCTGGTTAGACTTACGAGATTACTGGCTATCTCCTCCGGGTTGACGTCGGTGACGTCAAACTTGAACGTGACAGTTTTGGACTTCGACTCGAGCTGACACTCCACAACTGTGGCTGAATCGTTCACTTCCAGCACTGTCAGTTTGGGCAGCTTGTCTTTCTCCCGAGAACGTTTCTTAGAGCCCCTCGACTTCTTCTCGCTGGTGATGGGGGATGGTACTGCAGTGCTGACGGAAACTGAAAGCAATTCTTTTGTCACGTTACGTTGTTAGACATTGAGTATTACAATCCTTCTCAATCAGCCGTTGCTTAAGATACAAATATCATACAATTTCGACTAACCTTCTTGTTGTGCCTCTCCTAACTTCTCTTCCACGGAACTCAACTCTGGAGGCTTGATGCCATCTGGGTGAGTGGAACCAGATGGGAATTCCGTCATGGGAGTCAAAAATTGTTCCTTTTGCCCACCGTTGACGTGTCCGTTATCCGATGGCTCGGAAATACTCAACTGATGCGGTATCGATTCTTGTATTTGAGCGGAGCTTTGAACCGATGTCTGTGCAGAAAGTTGACTAGACTGCTGGACTGATTGTTGCACAGATGATTGAACTGTTTGTTGAACAGACTGCTGGATAGATGGCTGAACGTTCTGTTGGACTGATGGTTGAACAGATTGTTGCATAGAAGGTTGCATAGATGTTTGGATCGTGGTTTGTACAGATTGTTGGACTGGCTGTTGCACTGATTGTTGGACCGAGGGTTGGACCGTTTGTTGCACTGATTGTTGAACTTGTTGTTGCACAGAGGCTTGTTGCATTGGCTGCATATGCATCTGAGTGGAATCTTGTACATGAGAAACATTTTGTTGTACAGACGCCGCCACCGAGGACGGTATAGTTGGCTCCGTTTGATAGGAAACGTTTTGCATCGTCTGAACGGACTGGCTCTGCTGTTGGTACATCTGCAGAGGGTTGACAGAATAATTCTGCACCGGAGTGCCTTCATGACTAGATATCTGTCTTTCGCTCTGCTGAACTGCACTGAAATTCTGAGCCAGTATGTTATGAGGGAGGGATTGTCCTTGAAGAGGATGCATTTGAGGAATGTAATGGTCCTCTTTTTTCTGCATTTGCATATCGATGTACTGATTTTGATACTGCTGCATTTGATCGACGGACATCTGCGGTTGTAACGGTGGCTTCTGCTGATACTGATCCTGCACAAGTGGTTGCTGCTGGTCGTGCATGTCAGCTGTGCTTATTTGACTTTGTTCGGACCCCTGCCGTTGATACACCGGGCGTTGCGCTCGCAACATCTCTTCGACTTTTTGCTGTTGTTGTCCCATTAGCTGTTGCTTTTGCGCCAACAGCGCCAAATTCTGCTGATCGATGATATTTTGTTGCGTTTGCAACTGACGCTCCTGCTGCGCGAGGTATTGCTGCTGCTGGAACAACGTATTTCTAAAGTGTTGTGGAGAGAGTGTCTGCCCGGGGAGGTGCAACTGTTGCTGACTAAGCATATGCTGTTGGAAGACTAGTTGTTGCTGCGCCAGCATTTGTTTCTGCATGTTCAACTGTTGCTGAGCTTGTACCATCTGTTGCTGCGCGTGCGCCACCTGTTGCTGCTGAGCTAAAATGGCGGGGTCGACTGCGGCCGACAGTATATTAGGTTGTATGAAATGCTGCTGATTCTGTTGGTAAGCGAGGTTTTGAGTAGCTTGTTGCATTTGAGATCCCAGCAAGTTCATGGTCTGCTGCAGGGCTTCCTGCTCCTGCTGGGCTGGCTGCACGGGCACATCGACGCTCTCGGTGGTGGGCTGCTGACTGAGGGCGGGCGTCTGCTGGGCCTGCTGCTGCTGCTGCATCGCCTGCTGCTGCTCGGATTCCGACTCCTTCCTGGATTGCAGCGTGTCAGGCCTCTGAATGATCTGCGCGAGTATATTTTGCAGATTTTGCAAGGACGGATCGAGAACCTGACCGGTGACGAGATTCGGCTGCGGGCCTGCGATGGCGGTTTCCTGCGCAGTGAGCTGCTCCTCCATCTGCTTTTGATGTATGACTGCCGCCTGGTGCCGCATGATGTTCTGCTGCTGCTGTATGATGTGCTGCTGTAGTGCCTGGTTCTGGTTGGTGATTTCGTTGAGGCCGAACTGCGTGTTGAGTATGTTGTTCTGGTGCAGCTGCTGCTGGCTGGAGACAGGCTCGAGCTGGGCCTGCTGCTCCATGAGCTGGGCGGGCACGTTCTGGTCCAGCATCTGCTGGTTGAGCAGATTGTGCTCCATGAGCGCCTGCTGCTGCTTGATGTTCTGCTCGAGGGATGTGAGCGAGGGAGATATGCGTGCCTGGATCAGGTTGTGTTGCAGGATCTTCATCGCCGTTTCTTCGTTACTCATTTGTTGATATTGTTGCTGTAAGAGTTGTTGTTGAGTCTGAAGGAACTGCGATTGTTGATCTAGCCTGTAACATACACGCTTATTTACCCAATATATAATTGTAGTAGAGCGTCAGTGGCTCAGTGGTCAAGCACTTGACTTGCAATCTGTAGGTCCTGGGTTCGAATCCCGCCATGTACCAATGTGTTTTTCCATTTCCGATTTACATATGTACATTTATCCGACGGTGAAGGAAACATCGTGATGCAACCTGCACATATCTGAGAAGTTATTCAAAGATATGTGTGGTTGACTATAGCCTAATCACCCTGAAGTTAGGGTAGGCTCCGAGCCACTCGGTGGGGACGTATAATGAGCTGATGATGATGATGATGATGATAATTGAAATATGTATTTATTTATTAATACTATTGTAATCACGTACTGTACGGCGGCTAAAGTTGGCTGCGATCCCACTCCGTTCAGAAGTCCGGCTTTCACTTGGTCCACAGGACTGGCTTGCTGTTGGTTATGGAACATCTTTACCTGAAAGATACATTTTAATTATAGCCACTTATACATAGCAAAGTATTCAAATATGGTCTTTATTACGTTGATAATAAAGTTGTTCATATACCTGTTCTAACAGCAATTGTTGTCTGTTCTGCTCGTTGATCAGCTCCTGGTTGAACAACATCTGCGCTTTCTTCTCGCTCCTCTCTCTGGAACAAAAACATTCTTAAATTAAATAAAGGCAAAAAAAGCACAACAAAACAAAAACTTTATTATTTACCATTTAAAACACCCTAAAAAACAGAATAAGGAAGTAACGTTTAGAAGATTTGCGGGGTACAAAGAATATTATTTAATACGTTAATTTTAGCGAAGAATTAAGGGTTTGTAATATTCCAGTTAGGAGGCAAGGTAAACAATCTACCATCTACATTACGAAGGGGAAGATTTATGCCCAATAGTTAAATAAAAGCTACTAAACCGATTCTTATAACCATAAGATAACTACAGTTAACATTTTGCACCATTAACGTACAATATCGTAATTCGACCTGGCGACACCGGGCACGAACATCTAGAAAAACAATATAAAAAATAAAAATTACAAATCTTACAATATTAAACTTGTGGGTTAGACTGCGGTGACATATATAATTGTTTTTTTTTAATATAAGAAGTCAATACCTACATCGATTTGCGTCACGACAAACATTAATAATAAAAAGTTTAATATACCTCTAAGCTATAAGTAAACAAAAGAAGTCTACTAAAATCTAAAATAACGTCGACGACTCACTTTTATCGCGGCTTTTCACTTAAGAAACATTTATACAAACACTATTGCCATCTCTGTTATTACAAAGAAAATGAACGAGATGGTTATATCTATTAAACGAAATTAAAAACATCTAAATTTTAATTATAATGCAGTCTGTTTAACCTTCGAAATTAGAAACCGCTATTAATAGGGTATGTAATTACACAATGAAATCGTTTAGATCAGAGGTCGAGTCACGCGAATCTGAATCACTGTAACCTGAAGTAGAGGTTGTGCTATCCAAGTCACTGTATCCATGACAACGTGTCAACTATGTTAATTTTACAATAACACCTAGAGATTCGCGAACTTGCAGACAGACGGACAGACAGACAAAAAAATGATTTTAGTGAAATATGACACTTTAAGGTAGGTTTCTTTTCTAGCACAGTTGAACCTTTTTTTTTCAGAGAGGAATGCTTTATGCGTACTCTGCGTCCCGGGGGGGACGCGGCAGTTATGTGGGATTCTCCTCTATAGCGGAGGCATACCCACTAAACCCCTCTGTTCCTCCAACGCATCGGGACGGGGCCACGGGCACGGTTGAACCTATCTAAATGTAGAAACGCTCTATCCATAAAGTTTTAAGAGACGTATACAGCCTACAAGAGTGTAAAATTCTACAATCGACTATTGTTAGAAATTTAATTTTTTTTTATAGGAGAAGGGGGCAAACGAGCAACGAATCGCCTAGTATTATTTGATCCGACGCCCATGGACATCCGCAACGCCAGACGAACCGCAGATGCGTTGCCGGCCTTTAAGGAAAGTGTACGCTCTTTTCTTGAAGGCCCCTAAGTCGTAACTGTTTGGAAATACCGCTGAGGACAGGGTGTTCCACAACGCGGCTGTGCGAGGTAAAAAGTTACGAGAAAATCTCGTCCTTGTGGAATGCCAGCCATCGAGATGGAAAGGATGGAATTTGGCGCTCTGTCGACTCGTACGATGACGGAACCCAGCGGCAGGTATGGTTCCAAACAATTCTTCGGAACACTCCCCGTGGTAAATCCGGTAGAAAATGCAAAGGAAACTGACATCCCTTCGCAGAGCCAATGTGTCAAGCCGATTGGTAAGATCCCGGTCGTTGACGATTCGAGTGGCACGACGTTGCACGCGGTCGAAAGGAAGAAGCTGGTATTTAGGAGCTCCGGCCCAGAGATGCGAGCTGTATTCCATTGAAATTCCTCATAACATTCAAAAGGAATAAACCTGACCTAGTACAATAAGACCGGTTACAAAGGTGAGTGGACGCGTGGCCCATTCGACCCGCTTGCCAATCGAGCCGTAAGTACGGAAAATGTAATCTTATATAGGGCTTCATTAAAAAACTACATGTCCCACATTATTACAAAGAACTAGTTTTTTTACGTTCACGATAAAAATCAAAATCGCAAAGCAACTTTCATATCAATGTATTACGGTTTCGGATCAACGACCTAATTAACCTACAAGGAGGTTGTCGTGCAATGTATGTTTATAAAATTAAAAAATAAACTTTCTCCACCTGTTTCAATATAAAATCTATTTTGGCAAATAAAATACATCCAATTTGCATTAATTTATGATTCACGCTGTCGTAAAATTTCGAATCAATTTCATGTTATCGTGAAATGTAAGCGTCAATAGCCTAATGGTTAAGGGTACGGATTTCCGACCACGAGGTCAGAGATTCGAATCCCGCCATTCGACTATTGTCGTACACCATATCGTAGTACAAGCCTAGAGCTTAGTTGGAATGGTTAAAGAGATATTATATATATATATATATAACTAAGCTCTAGGCTTGTATTAGGATTTGGTGTAATATACATATGATATAATATCTATGTATATATGTATATATATATATATATATAGTTACATTTTATATATATTCATAATATTGCATTCACCTTACTAAGATTTATTATTTTAATTCAAATGATATATAGGTCAATATACCTAAACCTTGTAAATCGATCGAAAGCAGACATAAACTAAATCCGACCGAACGATACAATCCAAAATTATATTCAAATTATACGCGTGGCTGTACAGCTGAACGACCTTTGTCACGCGAATTCTACGCGACTATAACTGTCATATGCAGCCTGTCACGATGACATTAAACGAGTACCCATATTGACAAAACGTAATAAAAAAAAAACTTTTTATTATTTTATTATTAATTAAGATTTAAATCACTTTTACTACAATAAAATTTTAAAAAAGCAACAGTCAAAATCCTAACTTTTGAAAGGCTTAAAACCACGCAATAAATAAGGTCATATCCAATTAAGACAGCGAAAGGTTTCTTATGAGAGAAAGTATTTTATTTTCACACAGCAAAGATGTCACATTACAATGTAAAAGTGGCAAAGTATTTGAAGTCTGTAGGTAATAAAAAATAATCACTTGAGTACTGAGTTCAAATTTAATTAAAACACTATTAATTTTTAAACATCACAAATAACTCTATAAAATTACAATAACAAATGACAGGAAAAACTGTACAAACGATTCGGATTTCTTATCAAGAATGGAGGATGTGTGCGTGCATTTTATAGCATTTTATAATACTATACTTTGTGACGTCACAGCAATTAATAGCCAATGAAGCAGCGAATTTGACGTGTATAAATCACAATACTATGCGTAGCTCACGATTTCATCTGTATAGAATTAAAACCTACCTAGTTACGTGTTACAAACATCTTTACTTACAAACTTTAACATTTATAATAAGTAAGTCGTAAGATGTTATAATGAAATAGACACATAATCTTACTATTATTATGAATACGAATGTTTAGATATATGGATGGATGGATGTTTGTTTGTAGCAATCTCCGGAACGGCTAAACGAATCTCGATGAAATTAGTCACAGATGTAAAACATACACTGGAAGAACACATAGGCTACTAGGTTTTTTAAAATTACGTACCGACGGTGTCGCGGGCGACAGCTAGTATTGTATATGTATTTGTCAATTAAAACAATTGGAAGTGACACCACAATGTGATTGCAAGTGACATATTTGAAATTATAATATTGTCAGACAGACAGATGTACATAAGGACATCTGTGGATCCGAGAATTTGTATCAAATCACATTAATATTATAAATGCGAATGTTTCGATGGTTGGATGGATGGATGTTTGAATGTATCTTGTGTGCCAGCCAGCCGTGCTTGTAGCGCTGCGGCTGCGTGTCCCTGACTGCGTGGTTCAGGTGCGCCGCCGCCCGCCATTGTTTCTCGAGCCCACCGCTAGGACGAAGTTATTGGAAAATGCTTCTATAGTGCGGGCTATACGGCTTCTCAATATCATATCTAGAGATATAGATTTATTTAGTTGCAGCGAGTCGAAATTCACAGAGGCTGCGTACAGATGTGTGGAAGACGTTTGAATATTGATGTTTAGTTACGCGTTTATATATTCTTGCACTGTATTATATGTATTTTTTTTTCTTTTTATTTATCATTGTTATATGTTATTTACTGTTATTATAAAATATGTTATCGTGTAAACTGTTATGTAAAGTGTGTATAGTGTCAAATTGGTTGTATACTGTAAGGATGCTATGCAGTTTTTAAATAAATAAATAAATAAAAATCTTCAGAACGGCTGAACGGATCTCGATGAAATTTGGCATACATATAGAACATAGTCTGGTAGAACACGTCACGGGCGACAGCTAGTCATTAATACAAATATGATTTTAATATGTGCGTTGTGGAGGCGAGGTTTATACATCCGCCTGTCTCTGGTAATATTAAAAACGCCTGATATTATCTTAACCAAAGTGACCTTTGTAAATTACAGGCGTGTAAGGAAAATAAAATCAAAATAAACGTCAAATTATTCATTTTCCTGATTTTTTTTACACCTCGCATGTAACACTAATAATATGCAAATAATTTTAAGTCTTAACAGTGTGTGTTTCGTTCGACTAGCATTAAATGTTTTAGGGTTCTGTACCTTGAAAGGAAAAGAACCCTTATAGGATCACTTTGTTGTCAGTCTATCAACATCCTTTTTCTCATTAACGCGTAAGTTAATAAAGTTGAATTTTTCTTTTTTATTCAATAGTAATGACGATAATTGTTTTTTTCTTTACAGAATGCCAGTAAAATAGCCCATAAATATTTACAAATGTATTACGTTTTATCTTTCACTTTATCCACATCACTACGATAATGTACGTAAATGAAAGTATATTTAACTCATCAAAGATAAAGAGATATTAATTAAATCGTAGAAAATGTTACCTTCATCTTATAAATTTAAAATTTTAAAACTTTCTAATCCATAAATCGTTCATCTTAATTTTGAATTTTTGCATTTTTCGCGCCTAAAACCATACACATGTTATCTCTATTTACAAAGAGAATGTTTACGATATATTTTCGTAAACTCCTTCGTTTAAACCCACGCATAATTTAATTTGTACATTCGCATAATTCAAACATTATTTTGAAATAAACTTTATAACTTACTTCAACATACAGATGATATAATCCAAACAATTTCAATTCACTGTTAAATAACATATTTATCACTTTACACAACTTTGTTAATGTAAACTTTGGATACGCGAACAATAAAACTGTTGTCAAATAAATGCAGTAAGACACGTGGCGTTAACATGGTAGTAGTCGGCGACTGTTCCGCTAGTAGGGCGCGACGCGATTTCATTATCGCTGACAAGCGTAGGGAGGTGACATGTTTTTATTATTCTTATCGATATTATTATTATAAATTCATAAATCATTTTTATACTGAGTGGACGTCGATTCAAATGCAATGCGTAATAAATAATTTATTTAAAGTTTATGAAAAATATTTGTTATTTTAAAATAAACTAAAAAAATATTTTATAGAATTAATTTCTGTATAGTAATAAAAATAAATATCTCTAAATTAAAAATAACTTTTAAAATACGCCATCACACAGCAGAAAAAAAACAAAAGTCAACAACCTAATTTTAATATATTGATTTGAATAATTAGATACTGCTTAATTTATATTCACGCAAAATAGTATAGAACAAAATATATCGATATTTAAAAGTTAGACATCACTAGTAATTGAACAGTGTTATGCGGTGCGTGTGCATAGAGAGAGCTCATCGGACAATTGAAAGGTCGCATTGTGCACATTAATTGGCAGCTATCGGCACTATCTGCACATTTGTACGAGCATTGTCTGCGAGCTTGCATAATTACTGCTTCATACCTAGACATAGAGCACGTGGCCTGACATGTGACCACTTCCGGGGTCAATCCTGCTCCAAATTATATATTTATTTCATTAGAAAAAATTACTAAATAAGCCAAATTGTTAGGTTTTGTATTCGTTTTGTTTAATAATTGTCGAACGAAACTTAACACAAATATATGTTAAGCGTTACATTTATAACTTATCCTAGAATCCTATATAACAATCAGTTTCTCTTACGGTAGGTTTTTGAGACTAAAATCCCAATTTTAACATATTGCAGTTTAATCAAAGATAATGACAGGGACGATATGTTTTATACAGATATTTTTTTCTCAGAAAACAACGGTTGGTAAGTCTATGGATTAAACGGTTCAAAGAACAAACTAAACTGATGACGTCATTTTGAACAAGACGCGCTACGCTTGGATTACGGTTGATTTGGACTTCGATTCGCTATCATATTAGTATTACTTACGGAACTATACAAGAACATATTATGGTTAAAATTGCAACATGTTTTTATACAATTGTTTCGGCAATGAAAACGCTATATATTTTGTGTTGTATACTAACCGGTTGAGCGAGATGAGCTGTGACTTGAGCAGTTTGTAGACGATGCGAGCATCCTCCTCCATGATGAGGCCCGCTTTGGCCATCTCATTGGCCACCTCCTCGCAATCGTCCTGCTCCATATCAAACTCGAACTGGATCGCCTCGTTCTCCTTGTGCGTGTAGGATCTGCACAACATAATTGGTACAACTATAGTCGAACCGGGATAACCGAGAACTGGATAACGAGAAACCTCTATAAGCAATAATTATTGTCTAGTCCTTACAGACAATATTCACAGGTGGGAAATCTGTGTAATGGGGAATGTCGCGGTCCTTTGGACTCTCGCTTATCCGGATTTGACTGTATTTGGAACAAAAAACTTGACTGTAAATGCGTGAAATAAAACCCGGAGTAGCAGCGTCTTTTCATCTAGTTCTTACATTGGCCTATCGATCCACGGATTCAAACGATATTCCCATTGGATCAATCGATCGGTGGTCAACGAAAAACCGGCTTTATTCTAGACTTAACTATTCGAATCTTACTAATATTATAAACGCGAATGTTCGGAGGTATGTATGTATGTTTGTTGAAAATCTCCAGAACATCTGATCGGATCTCGCTGAAATTTGGCACAGCCGTAAAAAATGTCTGTTAAAACACATAGGTTAGTAAGTTTTTTTAACTACGCGCAAACGGAGTTGCGGGCGACACTTAGTTTTACATAAATTCGTTTAACTGTTCTAAAGTGGTGAGAGCAGTCCGTACATTTAAAGTTTCTTATTTACAATATTAGTAAGATTTAAAATATTTAGTGCCTTCTCTATGACACTTGTGTCGCTAGTATCGCTAGTGTCACGCAGAGGTGGCTCCATCTATGTCTATTGCTCACCGTTTCTTAGGATCAATGATCTTAAGTCGGAACTGTATCTTGGTGATGTCGGAGGAGGTGACAAGGTCGCGGCCGACAATCTCCAGCCGCAGACCGATGTCTTCACCGAAGAACTCGTGGTTCAGCAGATCTTTTACCTTGGGCCTGACACAAAGATTTAAAATTGGTCATTATAATATTTTTAATAAGCAAATTTAACTGTTTTTATATCATTCTATCGTCTTTTTATAAGATAACAAATGACAAAAGTGCTAAAAATATTTTTTGCTAAATATAGATCTAGATAATAAATATTTATCAGTACATTAGATCAATTTATTAGGTAAAGAATTTAGTATCAAATAGTTTTTTTTTTATATTTATCTTACCTATCAGTTTTGTTCGGCTTTATACACGACTCGATGATATCTTTCACTTCAGGAATGTTCACTTTGTCCAAACTCTGCGGTTTCACACCCTGACAACAAAACAATACTATCAGCTCACTATACGTCCCCACCGAGGGGCTCTGAGCCTACCCAAAGTCACGGGTGAATAGGCCATAGTCAACCACGCTGACAACTGACGTACTTGTGCGTGTGTACGTGCACGTGCACGTGTACGCTGTACGTACCGAGACGACCTTCTTGTATATCTGTGCGGGTCCGCTGCACTCGCTGTAGGGATACTCCCCGGTGGCCATCTCCAGCATGCACATCCCGAACGCGTACACGTCCACAGACTCGTCGTAGTGCTCCTCGTACATCTCCGGCGCCATGAACTCCGGCGTGCCTGCACATACACAACATATGAACAACCGCAAGATGTTGGCAAGCGCCACGAACGTAGTTAGTGCTACATTTTTACGTCTAGATTTTTTCGTAAAATTCCAATTCTCAGCAATTTTTTTTATACAAACTGATATTTCATTTCTTGACATCAGCCTATATGCTATTGTACTAAAGAAATTTAAAACAATAATCGTGGGTTTCTGAGATGAAAATCCCCGATTACATGATGGCGTTTTATACAGAGATTTTGGTCTCAAAAACCAATAAAAAAAACTGTTTACTAATGTAGTAACTCACCAATAACGGACTTGGCAAAGCTCCTGTTCTTGAGTGTGGCAAGTCCGAGGTCGCCGATCTTGACGCTGCCCGTAGTGCCCGTTATGAAGATATTGTCGCACTTCAGATCTCTAAACAAATAAATAACATTTTGATATTTAATTTTAAAGAAACACCTAAATAATTGCTACGTTTACATTATGTCAGTACAGTAGGACAGTAGCGTTCTTTATAGGGCTGGCCACTAATATATAAACTAACTGGCGCCAGTGAACCATAACACCACATTCCAGGCCTGCGTTAATGTTCTTCTATACTGGTGTAATGTAGACCGGGCATGAATTGAGGTCAAACAAACACATGACCGTCATTAAGGTATTACATTTTCTCACCTATGAATAATAGGCGGTGTCCTAGAGTGGAGGAAGTTCAAACCCTTCAGAATCTGTCGACACCAAGACTTCAGAACTTTGGGATTTATCTTCTTAAATCTACGCAGATAACTGTAACCAAACAAACAAAAAATAATAACAATGATAAATTTTAATGAAATAGATAAAAAAAAAATCTTACTAATGCCAAAATTTGCATAGATTTATTTTTTAACTCCTAACACGAATATTTGTGCTGATCGTATCGTCATCGTCAAAATTTGTATTCAAACTAATGCAGCGCCACCTAACGAGCTTAAATTACACCAAAAAATCTCATACTAATTTTGATGGAAATTGACGATGACGACGAGAAGGAGATTGTCACAAACGGTACTAGGAGTACAGAAAGACTGGACAGATTTGGAATCAGAGATAGATTACAGTCTGATAAGCGCAAAGGCCATTGTTTTATTTTTTAATTCCCTTCTTCTTTCCCGCGACATCTTACATAAGGCGAATGATAACTTACGCTTTAAGTGTACCGGAGAGCATGAGTTCTGTGATGAGGACGATGTTCTTCTTCTTGGCGACAGTGCCCTCCCAGTAGTTGTAGAACCTCACAATGTTTGGATGCTGCAACTTCTTCAGCATATCCGCCTCCTCACGGAAACGGAGACGCTCCGTTTTATTTAGCTTTTTCTCCTGTACATACATATTTGATGTTTAATATTTGTAGTCAAAAAAAGAAATGTAATTTTTTAAATTCCACTCATATTATATTAGCAACTAACTGTCGCCCGCGAATGCACCTGTGCAGAATTAAAATAAAAACTTAATTGTAGGCTATGTGTTCTTCCAGACTATATTCTACACCTATGCCAAAATTCATCGAGATTTTTGCAACCGTTCTGCAGATACCTTCTAACAAATGTCTATACATAGAGACTCTCCTTATTTATAATATTAGTAAGTTGATACATACCAACAATTCGCACCACGCCACAGCAACACCAGTCTGTGTATCCAATCCATGGTATACAGTTTTGAAGGAACCTCTGCCCACCTCTTTGTCGTATTTGAAAAACCTAAAACAAAACAATTAATAAATATAAAAAGTTTACATCAATGAAAACTTACTTTAATAAAAAATATAAACATACCTTCCACACGGTGATACACCAATAGGTTCCTCTTCATCTTCTTTATCCTGCTTCTGTTTATCCTTCTCCAGATCCAGTTTATCATAGATAGGACCGTAAACCAAACCTAAACACATCATTAAGTTAATTAAAAACAAATTAAAAAAATCTATTGACAAGTCTGTTTCTTGTAACAATATGCCAATTACTAACATTAGCCACCGGTATAGTTCGATTGTCACTAAATCCAATGAATCATAATACAGGCTTAGTAATATTGTATAATAACATTCAAACTTTACGGCAGCTCCGCGCGATTGGCCGAGCATGTCTTTGTCGCATTTACATGCGACTGTGAGATTAACCCGTTAGGGGGTGGACGAAAACAATATTTTTCAGCAGTCTGCGCAGTGACCTCCCCCGAATCACTTGACACCCCGTTCTAGACAGCTTTATCAGCGTTCTCAGTGAGATTTCTACTATGAATTTAAGGATGTGGGGGGGGGGGAATTATGACGCCTCTTTCTTTCTGTTCAGAGCTTTGACCGGTCGCCTTACTACGACCTACCGTAACGCCGGTACTGCTCACAAAATTGTGTTCGACCCAGCTTCTCGTACTCTATTTCTAGCCACCATAAAGTTTGAATAGTACTATATTATGATAAAGTAAAATGGGAACAAGAATGATTCAATTACAAGAAATTGGTGCAAATTGCGAATTGAATACTGAGAAATGCACATCATATCAACTCAATTGTATATTACAATAAGTAACATCCGTAAAAAAAGTTTTTTTAAAACATAATCTAATCTATACTTTTCTCGTGTAATTTTTCTCAGATTAAGGTCGTTTACGAGCACATTCACATTTAAACCTTACATAGAACTTTCAACTAGAGTTTATAAAAATCTGAAATATTCAGAATATTTAGCTAGAATATTTAGCTATTCTCATTTTATCTAGCTAAATATTTAAGACTTTTAAACTTTTTACAAATGTTATTTAATTTTTATATCTATTTTATAATAGAACTAGCTGTAGCCCGGGACTCCGTGCGGAACTGTTCTACATTTATGTCAAATTTCAACTGGATCTGTTCAGCTGTTATGGAGATACCTTCAAATATCCATCCATCCAAACATTCGCATTTATAATATTAGTAAAAAGTTAAACAAACAGTAGCTGGTGATAGTTGATAATTCATAGATTATTTTTTCAATAATTTATATAAAAAATTATTAAGATAAGATATATCTTATCAATTACTATGTTTCATTGAACTTGACATAACAAAAACATAGCATTATTGGTTGTAGTGAGGAATAGTATAGGTACTTGGATAAGCGAGAAACCTCAATGAGCGAGAAACCTCTAGGAGCGAGAAATCTCTATAAGCGAGAAGCCTCGATGAGCGAGAAGCCTCTATGAGCGAGAAACCTCTATAGGCGAGAAACCTCTATAGGCGAGAAACCTCTATGAGCGAGAAACCTCAATAAGCGAGAAACCTCAATGAGCGAGAAACGTCAATGAGCGAGAAACGTCTATGAGCGAGAAACCTCAATGAGCGAGAAACCTCTATGAAAGAGAAACCTCAATAAGCGAGAAACCTCTATGAGCGAGAAACCTCTATGAGCGAGAAACCT